AAGTGTTAGCCCCGCTGCTGAAGGTTCTGGGTGGGGGATGGCAGGGACTGGTTATCTGAAACCACTGTGCAAGAGCGAAAGGCTGAGGTCGGCCTTATCAAAGAGTGCCAGGAAGCCAGGGTCATGGGGTGGAGAAAGCAAGGAGGGGGCCCACCTGGGAGAATGGCAAGGATAGAGGCTGTCACTAGAGCCTGAGTAGCTGCCCTTGACTTCTCCAGGAGGCAAGGGACATGGAGGGCTGGCCAGGTTTCAAGAGCTTGGCTCCAGGTTGACAGGGTCCTTGATTCTCTGATGTTTTTCATATGAAGTTACACTGCAAGATCTGAAGGCAATCTAGAGAGTTTCAGACACGATTTACACACAGGTAATAGCATTGAGTCAGTGACTTTTAAAGATTAATTCTTAGAGCATAACTGTTACCCAGATGTTTACATTTTCAAAAAATCATCAATTTCGATAAGATCATTTTGCATTTCTATTTACCAGTGACAAACAATTAAAAAATAACAGTGCAACAGATAACATTCAATATTTGGGAAACGAAAGAGAGCTATTAAAAGAAAAATTTAAATTCATAATAGGAAGAAACAAAATAAATGGAGAGATAAATAAAACTTGAATAAATGGAGAGAGATTTTCTGTTCCAGAATCAGAAGATTTAATGAAGTTAACATGATATACTTAATATCCAATCTAATTTATAGAGTTAATAGAAATTAAATTTCAAATATACTGTTTTATAAAAAATGACATAATGTATTCCCTAATAAAATTTTTATAATGAAAATAATAGGCTGGGTGCAGTGGCTCACATCTGTAATCCCAGTGCTTTGGGAGGCCAAAGAGGGAGGATCAAAGAAAAGGAAAGAATAGTTAAGCACACTGAAGAGTTTTTTGAAAAGATGTAAGCCAGTTATATGAAAAATTACTCTGTTAACATGTAAAGTATATTTAAAATGTTAACAAAAGGCCAGGCTTGGTGGCTCATGCCTGTAATCCTAGCACTTTAGGAGGCTGAGACAGATGGATCACCTGAGATCAGAAGTTTGAGACCAGTCTGGCCAACAGGGTGAAACCCCCTCTCTAATAAAAATACAAAAATAAGCCAGGTGGGGTGGCGCATCCCTGTAATACCTGTTACTTGGGAGGCTGAGACATGAGAATTGCTTGAGCCCAGGAAGCAGAGGTTGCAGTGAGCTGGGATTGCGCTACTGCACTTCAGCCTGAGCAGCAGAGTGAGACCCTGTCCCAAACAAAAAAGAAAAGAGATATTCATATGATATTACATGATAAATTGTATGAATTGGATTCAAAGCACAACAGTAGATGGATTAAAAACACAACAGCAATTAAAATTGTTCTTTTTAAATGTTTTATTTATTTCTTAGAGACTGAGTCTTGTTCTGTCACCCAGGCTGGAGGTGCAGTGACATGGTCATAAGCTCACTGCAGCCTCAAACTTCTAGTCTCACGGGACCCTCCCATCTCAGCCTCCCAAGTAGCTAGGACGACAGGTACGCACCATCATGCCGTGCTAATTTTTAAACATTTTTGTAGAGGCATGGTTCTTACTATTTTGGTCTGGCTGGTCTCAAACTCCTGCTCTTAAGTGATCTTCCTGCCTTGGCCTCCCAAAGTGTTGGGATTACACACATGAGCCACAGTGCACAGCCCCAGTGGTTCTAAACTCAATATAACATTAATTTAAAAAAATAGTCTATTATAATGAAAAAATAAGAAAGGAATCATATTTAATAGATGTAATTGAGAAAAGTTGATATAAAAATACTTATGTCCTCTGATGTCATTTATTATAATAATCTTCAGATGTTTTAAAGAATTAATATTGACAATACCTCTTTTAAAAGTTAAACTAATTAGTATATATAAAATAGTTATCCAACTATGATGGGTAAATTAATTTTGCAACTATTAAAGCAGTAGGCTAGAGCCAGGCGTGGTGGCTCATGCCTGTAATCTCAACACTTTGGGAGACTGAGGCAAGTGGATCGCTTGAGGTCAGGAGTTTGAGACCAGCCTGGCCAACATGGTGAAACCTCCTCTCTACAAAAATACAACAATTAGCTGGGCATGGTGGTGGGCAGCTGTAATCCCAGCTACTCAGGAGGCTGAGACACAACAATCACTTGAACCTGGGAGGTGGGGGTTGTGGTGAGAGGAGATGGTGCCACTGCACTCCCCTAGGTGACGTCCCCTGGGAGACGGAGTGACACTCAGTTGCAAAAAAATGAATAAACAAAATAAAGCAGTAGGGTAAATAATAAACAGCAAATTGGAAACAGTAACAATCTTAATCAATTCACGATAAAAAGGAAAAAATGCAAAACTATTTGAAATAAAGCTGGTTAAAATTAATATTAAAAATATAAAGAAGAATTACAGATCTGTAGGTCAGTACCCCTTCTCTGCTAAACAGTTAAAGGATATGAACAAATAGTATAAGAGGAAACATGAGCACGAAGCCAACATTTGGGAATATTTTGGTCTTGCTAATAATGAAAGTGTGAATTAATAAAAGTATAAGTCTTCCAGGCCAGGTGTGGTAGCTCACACCTGTAATCCCAGCACTTTCGGAGGCCAAGGTGGTGGATTACTTGAGGTCGGGATTTCAATACCAGGCTGACCAACATGGTGAAACCCCATCTCTACTAAAAATACCAAATTAGCCGGGTATGGTGGCACATGCCTGTAATCCTAGCTACTTGGGAGGCTGAGGCAGGAGAATTGTTTGAACTTGGGAGGCAGAGGTTGCAGTGAGCTGAGATCACGCCATTGGACTCCAGCCTGGGCAACAAGAGCAAAACTCCATCTCAAAAAAGAAAAGTCTTTCATACAAAATACTTGTATTTCCTATCTATTGAAGTAGCATAGTGACAAAATTCCATGGTAATGTGAGGGAAATAGACACACTCCTAGATTGCTGTTGTGTTTTCTGGACAACAGTATATCAAAATGAAACACAAGCTACTAAGAAAATTATAGTCTTCTTTAAGGCAATATGCCCAAAGGAATAACACTCAGGAAAATGATGTAAAAGAAGAAAGGTTATTTGTATGAAAATAATTGTAGCCACATTATACTGGTGGAAATCTGGGAATTACCTAACTACCTAACAACTTGATAATTTTGATAGAAACTAGAAAATATTAATATGTGGTCATATCAGTAACTACTAAGGCCATAAACCTAAGGACTTTGACACTGTCACACGTAGAATATTTAAATTAAAAAGTGGAATGAGGCTTGGCATGCCTGTAGTCCGAGCACTTTGGGAGATCGAGGTGGGTAGATCACTTGAACCCAGGAGTTTGAGACCAGACTGGGCAACATGGCAAAACCCTGTCTCTACAAAAAATTTAAAAAATTTAGCTGGGTGTGGTGGTGCATGCTGTAGCCCCAGCTACCTGGGAGGCTGAGGTGGGAAGATCACCTGAGCCTGGAGAGGTCAAGGCTGCAACGAACCTGATCATACCTCTGCTCTCCAACCTGGGGGAGAGACTGCGATCTTGTCTCCACGAAAAGAAACAAAAGTGGAATGAGTTTGTTATGTGGACATTGATAATGGTGAAATTATGTTTGTCTAATAAGAGCGGATGTTTGTCTAATTGAGCGATCTCAATCAGTGCTTCTCAGACTTTCATGTGATTAAATCAAGTGATCTGCCATGCTTCCATATATGGCTTCCATATTGGAAAGTTTATATTATACACACAATTCCATTATCATAGAAAGTTCTATTGGACATTGTTCAGCTAAATCATTAATGTCTCAAAGTGAGGGGGATTTTACATCTTTTTGTCGGTAGAGTTGTTTGAAACATAGAATGAAGAGCTTGTTGCATTCCTTTGTAGTCACAAGTCAGGATATGCATTGGTATTTAGACATAAAGAGATAACAGCAGTGAGCAATGTTATGTAATGAAAATGTTAGGAAAATGGAATTCTTTTGTCCCATTGATTTTACTGCAGTCCTGGATGTGCTTTCATAAGCTGTTCTAAGTTTCTTGATAGGCAACCATTTTTCATAGATTTAGGTTCAATGCCAGTCTTTTCCTCTTCTGACCTTTCTGAGCTATACACAAATTATAACTTAATGTATCCTAGGGGAGATGCTGTTTAAAGAAGTATTGCAATAATTTAGACTCAGATATATGTATATATTTGAAGAAGATAACGCCATACTCCCATCTATTTGTTTCATGAATTTATTTTACTAAAGTGTATTTTTGCCCAGGCACGGTGGCTCTTACTTGTAATCCCAGCACTTTGGGAGGCTGTGGCGGGTGGATCACCTGAGGTCAAGAGTTCAAGACCAGCCTGGCCAACAGGGTGAAACCCCATCTCTACTAAAAATACAAAAAATTAGCCAGGCGTTGTGGCATGTGTCTGTAGTCCCAGCTACTCGGGAGGCTGAGGCAGGAGAATTGCTTGAACCCAGGAGGTGGAGGTTGTAGTGAGCCAAGACAGTCCCATTGTACTCTAGCCTAGGCAACAAGAGAAACACTTGGTCTCAAAAATAATAATAAAGTAAAAAAAAAATGTATTCTCTTTTTTTTGAGATGGAGTCTTGCTCTGTCACCAGGCTGGAGTGCAGTGGTGTGATCTTGGCTCACTGCCACCTCTGCCTCCTGGGTTCAAACGATTCTCCTGGCTCAGCCTCCCGAGTAGCCAGGACTACAGGTGCTCGCCACCATGCCCAGCTAATTTTTTATTTTTAGTAGAGAGGGGCTTTCAACATGTTGGCCAGGATGGTCTCCATGTCTTGATCTTGTGATCCGCCCACCTAGAACTCCCAAAGTGGTGGGATTACAGGCGTGAGCCACTGTGCCCGGCCAAAGTGTATTCTTTAAGCAGAACTGACCTGTGTCTGTTATCAAAGGATACGGGCATGGGTCTTTGCTAACTGAAAGTTTTATGGCTGATTTCTGTTTCTTTACATCTGTGGAGTAGAAATATTGACCATGTCGTGTTTTCTTCTAGGAATTTATGCAAATATTCTCATGAGGTCCTCTCAGAAGATAACTTCAGAGTCCTGAAAATTCATGAACTTTCTGGACTTAACCAAGAGGAATTAAAAGTGCTTCTCGTCCAAAGTGATCCTTTTTTTATGCCTGAGGTAAGTTGTGATTCCTCAGTTTAAGGAGGACAAATATTACTGTCAGTATTGTATTGCAGATATTTTGGCGATATCTGTGATGCATATACAGCAGAGAAAATTCAAAATTAACACCAGGACTCAGCAGGTGGCAGTTGAGGCTGTTTCTGAGTGACCTAAGAGATCCCTTAAATTTCCTATTTGAGGTTTCATAAGAATTTGAGTCTGGAATACCTCTTCCACCAGACTGCAAGGGAACCCTGTGTGAGTAATTATGAGCTGAAGATCTGATAGTGGTCAGACTACTTGATGCTTTAAATCAAGGTGGCTTCTTGGAGGAGATGGGCTTTGGAGTGAGGTTTGGAAGATGGCAGAGAAGATGAGGGTATGGGCTAAGCTGTTGTAACAGAGACCCCCTCAAAATACAGTGATTCAAATAAAGTATATTTTATTTCACTATCACTTGACAGTCTAGGTCAGGGTTCAGCAATGTACAACCCAGAGGCCAAATCTGGCCTGCCACCTGGTTTTTTTTTTGTTTGTTTGTTTTTTATTTGAGCTAGAGTCTTTCTCTCTCTCGCCCAGGCTGGAGTGCAGTGGTGCCATCTCAGCTCACCATAACCGCCTCCTGGGTTTAAGAGATTCTCCTGCTTCAGCTTCCCAAGTATCAGGGATTACAGGTGCCCGTTACCATGCCCGGCTAATTTTTACATTTCAGTAGAGACAGAGTTTCACCTCATGGCCAAGCTGGTCTTGAACTCCCGACCTCAAGTGATCTGCCCACCTCAGCCTCCCAAAGTGTTGGGATTACAGGTGTGAGCCCCTGCGCCCAGCTTGTTTTTCTAAACAAAGTTTTACTGGAACGTAGCCACGCCTATTTATTTATGACTGCTTTCATCTTGCAAGGGTGAGCTGAGTAGTTGCAGCAGAAACCGAATGGCCTGCAAAGCCTGAAATATTTCCTATCTGATCCTTTATGGAAAAGGTTACCAACTTTTGGTTTTTCCTGGATATGGATAGGAGGGTAGCCTGAGTTGTCAGGCAGCTAGACTCAGTGATGTCATCAAGGGACTCAGGCCAATAGGTCAGCTCTGATACCATCAAAATGTGGCTTCCATTTCTGAGTACAGTGGAGTCTATACTCGTTGTCACCATTTCTAGCCAGTAGGAATGTAGAGAGGAAGTAAATGGAAGGCGAGCAGTTTCCTTTCTTAAAAGATGTGACATGGACATTGTATATGGCACATCTGTTCAATCACATTGGTTAGAGATTATTACATGTCATATTTAGCTGAAAGGAAGTCTGGGAAATGTAGTTTCTTTCTGGGTAACCATGTATCTACCTAAAACTTGGGAGATTCTATTACTAGAAGAAATATGGGGACAATGGTAGATAATTAATAGTTTCGTCCACTCAGGAATATAGACTTAAGGATCAGAGGATACTGTTTAAAGCCTGGTATTTGGCCTGATAAAATCCATAAATAGAGAAGTTATTCTTACAGTTAAAGAGAGGCATAAAACATAATGGAAGACCCAGATGGGTGAGTAGAAAGGATGAGGAAAATGTAAACAAGGTTGAAAATCAGATGCACTTTTTTTTTTTTGAGACAGGGTCTTGCTCTGTCACCTTGGCTGGAGTGCAGTGGCACAATCAGGGCTCACTGCAGCCTTGACCTCCTGGTCTCAAGTTATCCTTCTGCCTAAGCCCCCCAAGTATCTGGAATTAAGGCATGCACCACCATTGCTGTCTATTTGTTGTTGTTTTTTTTTAAATTTTAGTAGGGACAGGGTCTTACTGTGTTACCCAGGCTGGTCTTGAACTCCTGAGCTTAAGCCATCCTCCTGCCTCAGCCTCTCAAAGTACAGGGATTATAGGCGTGAGCTACAGCACCCAGCTCAGATACTTCTTTATATACATGAGATAGCTGTTGGGGACTTCTGGAGGCTGAAACACTTTTTGACTCTGAGCTCAGTGTGTTTCCCTAAGAACTTAAAAAACTTGTAATATGAGAAGTGATTTTGAGTTGGCCACTGAGCTCAGGAAAGATATGAATGCAAGACACGTTATAAAGACTTGTTGGGTGTTGGGTGGGGGGAATTTGTCCCATTTCCTCCCCAGCCCTGTGCATTCTTCTATCTAGATACTTGGATTTGTTTCTCTTTCTCTCCCTCTTTCTCTGCCTCTCTCTGTCTCATTTCCAGGAGCCCAAGGTTTAAAGGTCTTGTCTTGGGATACCCATGACCTTTGGCATAGATGCTAGCTCAGTCCCCATGCCTACTAGCATGGGAAAAATCCTTACACAGCATGGGAAAAACGTCAACCCCATTAAATCTCCCGCCAACAGAGACATCCCATCCTTTTCCTTTCATTGAGAGAATGACAAGATGAAGTCTTGCCATGACACTTGAGAGAAGAGTATTTTGTGGTCTATCCTTAGTCTAGTGTTAACCTGGAGGCTTAGAAAGGCCATTCATTCATCATGTCTGATCCCTGCTTCGGTTCTTCAAAAGCAACAGGTACTTTTCACATCGGGCCACACATCTATGTTGAGTCCCTGGAGAATAAGCAGACTCTTTCTGTATTAGTCTCTTTTCATGCTGGTATGAAGACATACCTGACACTGGGTAATTTATAAAGAAAAGATGTTTAGTTTGCTCACAGTTCTGCATGGCTGGGGAGGCCTCAGGAAACTTACAATTATGATGGATGGCAAAACAGGAACATCTTACATGGCAGCAAGTGAGAGAAGTGAGTGCTAAGTGAAGGGGGAAGCCCTTTATAAACCATCAGCTCTCAGGAGAACTCATTCACTATCATGAGAATAGTAGCATGAGGTAACTGCCCCCATGATTCAATTACCTCCCGCCAGGACCCTCCCATGACAAGTGGGGATTATGAGAAAAAGAATTCAAGATGAGATTTGGGTGGGGATGCAGCCAAACCATATCATTTCCCTTCTCTAGGGAGGAGGTTGGCAGATAGGAACCTAGGAGAAGGCGCTGTTGCATGAGGGATACCAGAAGAGCCCATTGACCACAGCGCTGTGAGGGTCCTTCTAGGAAAATGCTTCTATCATGCTTTTATCAAACAGTGCAAAGAAGGGGTCAGCGTCATCTAAGTTTCCCTTTACATTGTTAGAATTCAGTACCCACAATTAGAGGGTGAGGTGGGGTGGGGAGGTTCTAGCCTGAAGCTTATTTTTAGCTAATAATTCAATTGCCATTTTCCACTTGTCAGAGTTAAGATCCCAGACGGGGGGGCTGCATTATTTCTTGAACTAGAGGTTGGAGGAGCTGGTTTCTGGAGTTAGGATTAGTTAGTATTGTTGGCATAAGCTTTTGTTCGAGAATGCTGGGCAAGAGAAGGCTCTAAAGGAGTGTTTTAACTTGCGGGAGTCGGATGGAATTTTTTAGGAGTGTAGCAGGAGAAGTCAGCCAGAGTTCAGCTGATTTCTAGAAGAGTTGGTCGAGGATGGCTCTCTAAAGAGGGAGAAATTATCCCTGCAGATTTGCAGCTGTTGTTTGGGCTATTTGGATTTTTTTTTTCTTTTTTGCGATGGAGTCTCACTCTATCTCCCAGGCTGGAGTGCAGAGGCGCAATCTAGGCTCAGTACAACCTCCGCCTCCTGGGTTCAAGCAATTCTCCTGCCTCAGCCTCCCAAGTAGCTGTGATTACACCTGTGATTACAGGTGGTAGCATGTGCCACCACACCTGAATAATTTTTTGTATTTTTAGTAGAGACGGGGTTTCACCATGTGGGCCAGGCTGGTCTCGAACTCCTGACCTCAGGTGATCCTCCTGCCTTGGCCTCCCAGAGTGCAGGGGTTACAGGCGTGAGCTACCATGCCTGGCCGATTTGGATTTTATCAGAAGGGATGAGGAGGAAGAGAGGGGCTGAGTTAAGTGCAAGAAGTGTAGAGAAACAGCTTTGTGGTTTGGGGGGGTGTGAGATGGGGACTAAAGTGGAATTTTCCAGTCACTTCATTCGTTGTTTTGCATTCGTTCAATTAATATTTAAGAGTGCCTGCAAGTGTTAGGCACAATGTTAAAATACTGGAGGTAATCAGTGGGAAACCGCACTTCCTGCCCTAAAGGACTTTACATTTTCACACTTGTTTATTTTGCTTTGACCTGTGAGAACATAAAAAGATCAGGCAAACCTGACTGCCTGGTATACGAACTTGTACAGTTGAAATGTGCTTGTTAAAGAAAGAAATGCTTTCATTTGTTCTGGCCTAATGAAGGCAGGAGCATTCTTGCTTAATATCAGCGTGGGAATAGGAATGTTACCAAAACATCATTTGTGAAGTTGCTATGAAGTATTGAAATGCGAGATTATAAAATTAACAAGACAAAAGTATGCCAAATTGCAAGGTCTTTATTGCCGGCGACGGAGGACTCAGGTCTCTCCAACCCGTGGCCCCGAAAGAAGGTGACAAGACTCTTATACCCGTAAACCACCTCCAGGGGTGGTGGTGAAGGGATTCAAACATTCTGAGGGCCAGGGGATTCCATAAATCACCTCCTGGGCAGAGAGGAGGGAGTGGGTCTCTGGACATTCCAAGGGTTAGGGGAACTTGTTGTCACTGCGATTATTACCTAAGTGGTTTACAGAAGTCAAGATAAGCGTTAGTTTACACATTGTCTGGGCAGTAGTAGAATCCGCAGGTCTCAGTTACTTATTACAACTCACAGGGGCCAGGATGGAATTAGTTTGGGCTGCTTATTCTGGTCATTACTGGTAAGCAAAGGCCAGCAATTCTGGCAGTTATTGATAAGAAAAGGTAAGCAGCTTTACATAGTGAGCACTTTGCAGAGCAAACTAGCAGTTTTATTTATAGAAGCCAAGGCCGGTAGTTATTGTGAGGAGAATGGGGCAGCCGTTACAACTTATTTCTGAAAAATAGCTTTGTCTTGTATAAAATGGCATTGCTCAGGTTCCAGCTATAGCAAGGCTAATGGTGTTTTTTTGCTATAGCTCAAACTTTAGCATACATCAGAATCACCCAGAAGGTCTGTTAAAACAGACCGTTGGCTCCACCTCTGATGGTTATGACTCTGTGGATATGGGCAAGTGCCTGAAGATCTGCATTTCTAACAAGTTTACTGTGCTGCTGATGGTGCTGGTCTGGGGACCACACTTTGAGAATTTCAGGTCTGGAGTCTGGAATCTGGATAATAGACTTGATAGCAGTTACACATATCTGTTTGTTTTATTTTATTTTTTTTGAGATGGGAGTCTTGCTCTGTTGCCAGGCTGGAGTGCAGTGGTGTGATCTTGGCTTACTGCAGCCTCCACCTCCCTGGTTAAAGCAATTCCCCTGCCTCAGCCTCCCAAGTAGCTGGGCTTACAGGCACGCACCTCCACACCCGACTAGCTTTTTGTATTTTAGCATAGATGGGGTTTCACCATGTTGGCCAGGATGGTCTCGATCTCCTGACCTCGTGATCTGCCTGCCTTGGCCTCCCATAGTGCTGGGGTTACAGTCATGAGCCACTGTGCCCAGCACATATATCTGTTTGAATCAGATTTTAGTGGTTGTCCATGTGGCTAAATCATTGCTAGTGGGGTTTGAATCATGGCTTTGTCATCTAGACAGATCCCAGTGAATCATACTGATCTGGTTTGCTCAGAATCTAGTGAAACAACTTACAAATGTTTTAATCATTAAAATGTCTGAAATTCAGGTTTCTTACTCATTATATTGATTTCCTCATTTCATGGTTCAACACTTGCATCACACTTTATATTTTGCATAACACATTTACAAATTTGGTTATTTCGTCCGCTTAACAACTTGGTTCATGTAGACAGAACAAATCTTTTCCTCCTGTTACAGCAAAGGAAATGGAGGCTGGGAGTAGGCAAGGGATCCCTTGAGATCACAAAGCTGCTTCCAGGACCTCAGATTTTAAAACCAACATCCTCCAGTTCTGTATCATAGGGCCTGCCCAGCTGCAGTATTCTTTCTGCCCTCTTTCCGGTAGGAACTATGTCTCTTCAGAGCTAGGCATGTACCTGTGTCTCTTTAGATGGAAATATAAAACTTATCTTCTTTAGGCGACCTTTTGATAAATTTCATTCTGCCCAGCAGAGACTAAATTCTGGATTTCCAAACAGTTGCAGGTAAGACCTGTGTGTCCTTTTCATTGCAAAGTGAGTTGATAATCAAAGATGACCCTTCCTGTGCTGAGTTCCTTCATGATATAGGGCTCACTTTGGGTCCTGTTTGTAGCTAACCAGCTTATATTGATTCTTCTAAGGATTATTAAATTCATCAGTAACTTTTAGTTAGTCTGTAAGCCTCTTCTGCCCCAAGTAAATCATTAATTTAATGTGACTCATCAAAGACTGCAGAGTATGCATGTGTTTTTCCCCCTTTGGTATATCCCTGCTTGCTTCAGAGATTTTTAACGCATGTGAGCTTGCCTTCATGAGTGTGTGGCAGATGCAAGAAGGTGTTTTGACTCTGGCTATTGTTTCTCCCTTCTGTAGATATGCAAAAGCTATAAGGGAGAGGGTCGACAGCAGATTTGTAGCCAGGAGCCACCGTGTGCAAGACTCCACATCTGTGACCACTTCACTCGAGGAAACTGTCGTTTTCCCAACTGCCTCCGGTCCCATAACCTGATGGACAGAAAGGTGCTGGCCATCATGAGGGAGCATGGGCTGAGCCCCGACGTGGTCCAGAACATCCAGGACATCTGCAACAGCAAGCACATGCAGAAGAACGCCATGGGGCCCAGAGGTAAAGGCCATGTGTTTTTCAATTGTGTGAATTTTTTTTTTTTTTTTTTTTTTTTAGACGAGTTCTCACTCCGTCACCTAGGCTGGAGTGCAGTGGTGCGATCTCAGCTCACTGCAACCTCTGCCTCCCAGGTTCAAGCAATTCTCCTGCCTCAGCCTCCCGAGTAGCTGGGATTACAGGTGTGAACCATCACATCCAGCTAATTTTTGTATAAATTAGAGATGGGATTTCACCCTGTTTGTCAGGCCGGCCTTGAACTCCTGAGCTAAGGTGATCCATCTGCCTCAGCCTTTCAAAGTTCTGGGATTACAGGTGTGAGCCACTGCACCCGGCCAATTGTGTGAACTTTCAAATCAGCAGAAATCACAAGAAAAGAAAAACTTTGCCGTAATCACGCTACCTTGCCACATAAAACTCTTTGTTTTCCTTTCCAAACATCATGCATATGCATACATCATTTTCGTAATTATCATAGTATACATGCAATGTTTGCAATTCAATTTTTATGCTTAGCACTATTGCCCCCTGCCCCCGGCCATGTTTAAAAAGCAGTGGCTTATGCCTGTAATCCCAGAACTTTGGGAGACCGAGGTGGGCAAATCGCAAGGTCAGGAGTTCAAGACCAGCCTGGCCAACATGGTGAAACCCCCGTCTCTACTAAAAATACAAAAATTAGCTGGGTGTGGTGGTAGGCACCTGTAATCCCAGCCACTTGGAAGACTGAGGCAGGAGAATTGCTTAAACTCAGGAGGGGAAGGTTGCAGTGAGCTGAGATCGTGCCACTGCACTCAGCCAGGGTGACAGAGCAAGACTCCATCTCAAAAACAACAACAACAACAAAAGTATGTCATTTTTCTAAAGGCTAATTAATAAAGCTTCTTTTCAAGGAAAAGAAACAAACATAAAATTGTTTAGATTTACCAGCTGTTAACATTTTGTCCCAATTGCTTTAGCTCTTTCTTTCTCTGTGTATCTACATACAGCTACTCACACACATGGAACATTTTGGTGGTTAAAGCATTTGGTAATATGCAAATATCATGACATTTTACACCTGAATATATCAGCATGTATCTCCTCAAAACAAGGCCATTTCTTACATAATCACAAGGCAGTTAATACCAAAAATTTATTACTGATGCAAAACTATGTACGATTTAATTTATGGTCCTCAGTGCCATTAAAAAAAAATTATATATATATATATAAATTTCTAAAAAAAAACACAATAACTCCCATTCTCTGCTTTCCCCAGCCTCTGGGAACTAACGTTCTGCTTTCTGTTTGTATGAATTTGACAACCCTAGGAAACTCATATAAAGTGGAATCGTACACTATTTATCCCTTTCTGACTGGCTTATTTCACTTAGCATGATGTCCTCAGGGTTTATCCATGTTATAGCATATGTCAGAATGAATAATATTTCATTGTATGTATGTAATCATTGTTTTATTTATCCATTCATCTGTCGATGGACATTTGGGTCACTTCCAGTTTGAATAATGCTGCTATAAACATGGTGTACAGATACCACTTTGAGACACTGTTTTCAGTTTTTTGGGGTATATAATCAGAAGTAGAATTGCTGAATCATATGGTAATTCTATGTTTAATTTTTTGAGGAATGATCATAACTGTTTTTTGTAGCAGCTCTGCCATTTTTCATTTCTGCCAGCAATGCCCACAGATTCAAATTTCTCATATCCTCTTTATCATTTTGTGTTTTCTGATTTTCCTAAGGTGTATGAGGTGCTGCTATTACTTTTTGAGATAGTGTCACTCTGTCATCCAGACTGGAGTTCAGTGGTGTGATTTTGGCTCACTTCAATGGCTGCCTCCTGGGTTCAAGTGATTCTCCTGCCTCAGTCTCCCAAGTAGCTGGGATTACAGAGTGCATACCACCGTACCTGGCTAATTTTTGTATTTTTAGTAGAGACAGGGTTTCACCATGTTGGCCATGCTGGTCTTGAACACCTGACCTCAAGTGATCACCCACCTCAGCCTCCCAAAGTGCTGAGATTACAGGTGTGAGCCACTGCGCCTAGCCAAGTGCTGCTATTTCTAAAGCATTTTCATATTACATAATAACATTTATTTTTCATGTCGTTATGAAAGTGGATGTAGAAAAGGTGAATTTTATGAAGCAGGTAGAATTCAGGGTTCTAAGATTCTGTGCAAAGTATTGAACAATTATACCTGTGCAAAGTATTGAACAATTATTATTATTCAATAATAATAAATATTATTGAATATTTTCAAGACTTTTTTGTATTGAATAATTAATTGTTTAATTAATTGAACAATTAAACCATTTGGGAAATGGTTTATCATTTACAAGGGACTTTCACCCCAAATGAATATCTCATCATTGTTCCTTATGGTGAAACCACAAAGAAAGGCAGATATATCATTTATTAGCTTTACTTAAGGGGATAAAGAAACTGAGGCTCAGAAATTTTAAGCAACTTTTATTGCAAGCAGCCTCAGATCATAAGAAAGAAGGATAATGTAATGAAGAAATAAAAGGTAACATTTTCAAGGCCTCACACCACTAGAAAGTAGCAGAGCACATGTTCTGATCCCGTGTCTAACGCTTTTTCTCCCACGCTGCAGTGGTCTCTGAACAGGGGAATGTCTGGACAGGTGGGTTTTGGTGTAGTTTCTCAGTGTAAACTTATTGTGAGTGAGAAAGATCTGTATATATTTTCACTTCTAGTTCATCTCCTGAGTTAAGCCTTTTCTTGATAGGAGAAGGGTATTTGCTTTTATTACATTTCTGCTGCCCCCTGGGTTTGGAAGAGAAAAAAATGTCTCCTTACCCCTTCCCTACACACAAAAACACAACTCACACTGTGGTACCCGAGCGAGTCAAGGAATGTGCCACACTCTGAGATTGAATTATGAGTCCTTTATTATGCCGGTGACCAAGAGGTGGCTAAGGCCCAAAATTCTCTCAGCCCTTAAGAAAAAGTTGGGTGGTTTTTTTTATCCTAGTTTTAAAAGGGAGGGGGAACTTAGCTGAAGCAATTTTTTTACAAAAGCAGAGTAAGCAAAAAATTTAAAAGATAAACTAGTACATGAGAAATAAAACAGTGCCAGGTGCGAGGGGTAAACCTATCATGAAAGACACAGAACTTATAGATAATGGGGGCTCTGGGGGCTCGACAGCACGTGCATTCCCAGGCCCTGCTGGTACCACTTAACTCGGCCTCTGTCAACAAATTCATTCCTGGAGGTGCCCGGTGCCAGCCTGCCCCAGCTACATGCTACATTACATACTTAATGGGGGAAAATAACTAAAATGAAGAAGCTAAGATGGAGTCTGTCCGGCTCAAGAAGCGAACATAAAGCCTGAACAGCTTTTAGTCTGAGAAAGAGAGAGTTCGTTTTAGCTGACAAAAAGCAGGTTATCACACCAGCACACACATAGGCACACACACCCCCCAGATGAACATCACATGCATGCATGCCACACACACACACGAGCACACACGTATACTTCACATTCACACACCACATGTGCACATGTGCCTCAAACACGGACATACACATCTTCCACATGTACTCCCAGCACACACACACACACACACACCCCAGATGAACATCACATGCATGCACGCCACACACACACGCCACACACCCTCACAAACACACCCTTACTCCTTCCTTCCTCCTGCTTCCAGGAGGAGGATGTGACTCATCAGGTTTCTAAAGGCCAGTTCCCTCCAGGCTACACTGCTTCGCTGATGTTGACTTCTTATATGCTTTGGGCCTTGTGGGATGGGATGAAGAAAGCTGGAAAAATTTCTAACTGAAACAAAGTTAGGCTTTTATTTGTGGTTTCATTTTCCGTTGGTTTGTTTGAAGCATTGTGAATCTCGTCAATGGTCAGGTACACCCATATCACAATACAGGCAAAATCGAATGCTTTCTGGAAAATCTCTGATTCGCCCCAGTCTATCTCTTGTTTCACCATAGTGGTGAATGTTGACTCAGGACCAGGAGACAATGGACAGCCCCACCTAAAAGCTTTGGGGTTTGGGAGCGACTTTGTGTCGCAGAAGAGAGCCACGGTCTCACTATCATCCTAGGCCATGGAATGGTGTGCTCTGCCGTGCAGGCAGAAGGTCAAGATTCCTTTTTTTTTTCTTTGAGTCGGAGCCTCGCTTTATCACCAGTTGGGAGTGCAGTGGCTTGATCCTGGCTCACTGCAACTTCTGTTTTCCAGTTTCAAGTAATTATCCTGCCTCAGCCTCTTGAGTAGCTGGGACTACAGGCATGTGCCACCATACCCGGCTAATTTTTTGTATTTTTAGTAGAGATGGGGTTTCACCATGTTGGCCAGGATGGTCTCAATCTCTTGACCTCGTGATCTGCCTGCCTTGGCCTCCTAAAGTGCTGGCATTACAGGCGTGAGGCACCGCGCCCGGCCAAAATTCTTTCATCAGCTGATATAGTCAGTGAGCATCTGTAATCCCAGCTACTTAGGAGGCCGAGGTGGGAAGATCGCTGGAGCTCAGGAGTTCGAGGTTGCAGTGAGCTGTGGTCAGGCCACTGCATTCCAGCCTAGGCAACAGACTGACACTCCATGTCTTAAAAAAAAAATCCTGTCATTGTCAAACCACCCATCTTCAAGATTTTTACACATCAGATTAGGTCAAGTAATTTGATCACACTTCGATAGCAAAGCTGGAAAAGCCAAGAGAAGGCAGGGTGGTAGGAACTCAGTCACATTAACTCCAATGTTCATTCTTTTGTTTCATTTGGCTTTTTTCTCCTAGCTCCTGCACATCGTGGAAACTTGGCACATAGGGCTAGAAGCAAAAGTAGAGATCGGTTCCTTCAGGGCAGCCAAGAATTTCTTGCATCTGCTTCAGCATCAGCTCAGAGGACCTGCACGCCCAGTCCAGATCAGATCGGCCACAGGGCTTCCCTGGAGGATGTGCCTGTAGACGATCTCACCTACAAGTTCGCCTATCTGGGGAGTCAGGCTCACACACGGCTTCCCTCTGGCTCGTCCAAGGCTACCGATCTTGGAGGAACAAGTCAGGCTGGGGCAAGCCGGGGGTTTTCAGAGAATGGCAGTCTACATGACATCTTGTATGGGAATCCAGGCGACACTTACCTTGCTTCGGATTCAACACCAGCCTCCAACTGGAAGGGCCCCACATCCTGGACGAATGACAAGGGCACTGGGAGAGAGTCTATGTTTTCTCCCACGCTACCTGCCGCCTGCTCTTCTCTGGGCTGTCTGCAAACACCTGAAGCTGTGACCACCAGAAAGGGCGCAGGCTTGCTTTCCTCAGACTACAGAAACATCAATGGCAAAAGTGGGACTCAGGACATGCAGCCTGGCCCTCTTTTTAATAATAATGCCGATGGAGTGGCCACAGATATAACTTCCACAAGATCCTTAAATTATAAAAGCACAAACAGCGGTCAGAGAGAAATATCATCCCCTAGGAATCAGGACGCTGGACCTGCTTCCCGAGATCTCCAGGCTACTGGCAGAATCACAGGTGGCACTGACCCAAGAGTGGCACTTGTTAATGGTAAATACAGAGGGAAGACACTTTGGGCTAGTACCTTTGTCCACGATGCACTGACTGGCTCTAGTAAAGTTGCAGATGAAACTATTGATGTAGGAAAAACGGGTGCCACGGGTTTTGGCTTAACAATGGCAGTCATGGGGGAAAAAGATATGTTACATTTGGAAGTCAGAGTCTGAGAAGCCTGGTCCCCGCCACACTTGGGGAAACCGCTGTCCCTGCACAGGTCAGCACTCTGCCTCAGTCACCTGCTACACTTTCCTCAAGCAACAGAGCTGCAGTCTGGGGGTCCCAGGGACAGAACTACCCAGGTTCCTGTTTCCTCTGCCAGTGAGCTCACAAGGAGGATGACAGGCTCTGTTCAGTGTAAGTCACTGAAGGACAAAGGGGCCCCTGTGTCTTGAGTCTGCAGCAGAGTGGCTGTGGCTGGTAGTTTTTCCTTGAATGCTCCCCAGCAGTTCTTTTTTTTTTTTCTTTTTGAGATGGAGTTTCACTCTTGTCGCCCAGGCTGGAGTGCAATGGCGCGATCTCAGCTCACTGCAACCTTCGCCTCCCGGGTTCAAGCAATTCTCCTGCCTCAGCCTCCTGAGTAGCTAGGACTGCAAGCACCTGCCACCATGCCTGGCTAATTTTGTATTTTTAGTAGAGACGGGGTTTCTCCATGTTGGTCAGGCTGGTCTTGAACCCCTGACCTCAGGTGATCTGCCTACCTTGGCCTCCCAAAGTGCTGAGATTACAGGCCTGAGCCACTGCGCCTGGCTGCTGGCAGTTCTTAAAGGGCATAAAGTCAGAGGGTTTTGGTTAAGGTGTGTTCCGGTCAGGAGACTGACTAGTGACGACGGGAAAGGACCAACCAGTAGAACCACAGGGAATAAGCTGCCACATTTACTGACAATAGGAATATTTCAACGATGATTTAAGAAACAAACATAGCTCTCACAGGACTCTCAGGTCCACATTCTTATTTTATGGAAAAGCTGTCTAGACGCTCATGAGCAACACATAAATCATAGGAATTTTCTTGAACATGGCCCCCGTGTTCAGATATTTCAGATATTCTTTCCCATTGTGAGGCCAAGTGCCTTGATTTTTGGTTTAAACATTAAGATCAATATACACGCATCCTCTTTTGTTTTATAGATTCTTTATCTGATGTCACAAGTACCACATCTTCTAGGGTGGATGATCATGGCTCAAAGGAAATTTGTCTTGACCATCTATATAAAGGTTGTCCACTTAATGGTGAGTAACCTAAGGATTTTTCTGGAAGCTTCTACCTGTTGGCCATTGTAAATAATGCCGCCATGAACATGGGTAGGCAAATGTCTTCTCAAAACCCTGCTTTCCATTCTTTTGGATATATACCCGGAAGTGGAGTTGGGGATCATATAGTGCTTCTGTGTTTAATTTTTTTTTTTTTTTGGAGGAACTGTTTTTCATAGTGGCTATACCATATTTGTTTTTCTTTTTTTTTTTTCTTTTTGAAACAGAGTCTTCTCTGTCACCAGGCTGGAATGCAGTGGCATGATCTCTGCTCACTGCACTCTCTGCCTCCCAGGTTCAAGCAATTCTTCTGCCTCAGCCTCCTGAGTAGCTGGGACTACAGACATATACCACCACGTCCAGCTAATTTTTCTATTTTTAGTTGAGTCAGGGTTTCACCATGTTGGCCAGGATGGTCTCGATCTCTTGATCTTATGATCCGCCCACCTCAGCCTCCCGAAGTGCTGGGATTACAGCCACCACGCCTGGCCACCATTTTTCATTCTCATCAGCAATGTACAAGGGTTTACATTTCTCCACATCCTCACAACACTTGTTCTTTCTGTGTGTTTGTCTTTTCTGTTTGCTTGTTTTGAGACGGAGTCTGGCTCTGTCACCCAGGCTGGAGTGCAGTGGTGCGGTCTCAGCTCACTGCAATCTCTGCCCCCTGGGACCAAGTGATTCCCCTGCCCTAGCCTCCCAAGTAGCTGGGATTACAGGCATATGCCACCATGCCTGGCTAATTTTTGTATTTTTAGTAGAGATGGGATTTTGCCATGTTGCCCAGGCTAGTCTTGAACTCATGACCTCAAGTAATCCGCCCACCTTAGCCTTCCAGAGTGCTGGGATTACAGGCATGAGACACTGTACCTGGCCACTGTCTTTGATTGCACCCATTTTCTAACAAGTGTGAGGTGTGGACTATAATGAGTGGTTATATACTTTTGAATCAGCCAAGTCTCAAGTAGGGACACTCAATGGGTGTCCCTGGGGTGTCTGAACCTGTCTTTTTTGTTTGTTTTAAAGTTGTCACACATCTTTATTTTGAGTATTTCAAAAACAATTTAAACATAACGTACTGTAAATTTAGAAAAACAGAACTATTTCCTGTCTTGCTGTACTGTAGCTTATAACATCAGTCATTCTTTAGCCGGCATTCCTGCAGTGGCTCTCTTTTGTACGCCCAGCCCTGTGTCAAATATGCAAGGGAGTTGTAAGCTAAACCGTGGTGCGCCTTTTCTTTCTTTAGTGAGTTTGTAATTAAGGTGGAGCATCAAAACATCCATAAAATGCCAGGCGTGGTGGCTCACGCCTGTCATCCCAGCACTTTGGGAGGCTGAGGCAGGTGGATCACTTGAGGCCAGGAGTTCAAGACCAGCCTGGCTTTCATGATGAAACCCCATCACTACTAAAAATACAAAAATTAGCCTGGCGTGGTGGTGCACATTTGTAACCCCAGCTATTCAGGAGGCTCAGGCAGGAGAATCGCTTGAACAGGAGGTGGATGTTGTAGTGAGCTGAGATCATGCCACTGCACTCCAGCCTAGGCAACAGAGTAAGTGAGACTCTGCCTCAAAAAAAAAAAAAAAAATCTACAAATGAGAAAACTGCATGAAATAAGTAAAACGTAAAAACTTAAGCTCAGGCCGAGCATGATGGCTCATGCCTATAATCCCAGCACTTGGGGAGGCTGAGGTAGGTGGATCATGAGGTCAGGAGATTGAGACCATCCTGGCCAACATGGTGAACCCTGTCTCTACTAAAATAAAAAAAAAAAATTAGCCAGAGGTGATGGCACATGGCTGTAGTCCCAGCTACTTGGAAGGCTGAGGGAGGAGAATCGCTTGAACCCTTGGAAGCAGAGGTTACAGTGAGCCGAGATCGTGCCACTGCACTCCAGCCTGGCAACAGAGCAAGACTGTCACAAAACAAAAAAACTTAAGTCCAAACTGGGTGTTAGTATTGACTAAAGGAATGCAAAAAATACAAGTCAGATGGGAATGGAGTGAGATTCATTAGGAGAGTCTTCCTGGAAGAGATGAGCTGTAGGCCAGGGCTTCAAGGAAATACAGGCGGTTGCCTCTGCTGGAGAGCATTTTGGCTTAATCCACCTGGGGGATGCAGAAAGGGTAACTAAATTTCTGATTTCCTCAAATTTCTATGTGGGTAGAGTGACTTTTGGGGAGTGGGGAATTTTTTTTTTTTTTTTTTTTGAGTTGGAGTCTTGCTCTGTCGCCCAGCAGTGCAGTGGCGTGATCTTGGCTCACTGAAACCTCTGTCTCCTGGGTTCAAGTAATTCTCCTGCCTTAGCCTCCTGAGTAGGTGGAATTACAGGCACCCACCACTGCACCTGGCTAATTTTTTTTGTTGTTTTTTTTTGAGACAGAGTCTCACTCTATTGCCAGGCTGGAGTGCAGTGACATGATCTTGGCTCACTGCAACCTCTGCCTCCTGGGTTCAAGAAATTCTACTGCCTCAGCCTCCTGAGCAGCTGAGACTATAGGCACATGCCACCACACCCAGCTAATTTTTTATATTTTTAGTAGAGACAGGGTTTTACCATGTTGGCCAGGATGGTCTCAGTCTCTTGACCTCGTGATCCGTCCGCCTCAGCCTTCCAAAGTACTGGGATTACAAGGCGTGAGCCATTGTGCCCAGCCCAATTATTTTATTTTTAGTAAAGACAGGATTTCACCATATTGGCTAGGCTGGTCTTGAACTCCTGGCCTCAAGTGATCTGCTTGCCTCAGCCTCTCAAGGTGCTGGTATTGCAGGCGTGAACCACCACACCTGGCCTGAAATTTTGCTTTCTGATGAATCTCTGCAGTAATGAAGGAACCTGGATAATGGACACACAGCCGTGCCAGCAGGTATAGGCAGGACCTGTCTGGCAGGGGGCGGGGTAGGTATGGATGGGGAAAGCTGGCAGTGAACTTGGCTGAATTGGTTAGAATCCCCACTCAACAGTCCCTCAGACCTCCTGTTTGTCTTCGTAGGGAGCTGTACCAGAGTCCACTTCCATCTGCCTTACCGGTGGCAGATGCTTATTTCAAGAACCTGGACGGACTTCCAGTTCATGGAGAAGATCGAGGAGGCCTACTGTGACCCCCAAATCCACCTGTAAGTTGGTGGCTGTACTCTGGATTTCAAGAGCCCAGCACTATCAAAGGGAAGCGTTTGTACTAGGCTTAGGGGAAAAAGAAAAATACCCTTTTCCATCAGAATCCCATTCGAGTGTGAGATACCTCTTGAGATAGAAATGGCAAATGCCTGCCGAGTTAATGAAGGAAAACACAGCGGGGTGAGTTTGAGGTCTACGGAGCCTGGCTAATAGGAGAGATTCTGGGAATGTTTTCTAACTCAAATGAAATGAACAATGACATGATTATTTATTTAGTTGATAGTTGTCAATGTGTCCGGCAGAAAAAATTTAGAGGCCAGCTTCTATTCTCATCAGTTCATCACAGAACTGTTAAAAGTACTAAGTGATTTAGGACAAAAGAGCCTTTGGCTTAACTTCTTAATTTAAAAACATGATTTGAGTAATTTTATATAGTTCTAGTGTCGAATTCTGTTGTATACTTTAGCATTTAATACCTTCCTTATGTTTGCTGTGTTCTCCAGCCTGGGGGCATCTAAGAGGGTACCTTACCTTTCTGCTTCTGGCTGAGTGTGGTGGCTCATCCTGTAATCCTAGCACTTTGGGAGGCTGAGGCAGGAGGATCACTTGAGCTCAGGAGTTCGAGATCAGCCTGGGCAACATGATGAAACCCTGTCTCTATCAACAATACAAAAACTAGGCAGGCATGATAGCACACTCCTGTGGTCCCAGCTACTTGGGAGGCTGATGTGAAAGGATCACTGGAGCCTAAGAAGTTGAGGCTGCATTGAGCCATGATTATGCCACCACACTCCAGCCTGGGTGACAGAGTGAGAGCCTGTCTCCAAAATAAATAAGTAAAAACATTTCTCCTTCTGGAAGAGCTGAAATAAGTGATACCTACATGACATATTTATCTATGGTGTGCAGGGGTATAAGAAACATCCCAGTTTTACAAGGAAATTCTTTAGGGGGAAAAGTTAACATTACTTTTAATCATATGAGAATTCAGTGATTTGGGGGTGGAGAGTCTGTGTTGCTGCATTTTTACCACTAGAGGGTGACATCAGCCACTTTCTTGTTGCTAGATCTATATTTCCTCCCCCAGGCAAGTTTAGAGCTGGTTTTCTCAATCTCAGCACTACTGATGTTTAGGGCCAGATGGTTATTTGCTGTCAGGGCTGTTTAGCACTATTCCTAGCCTCTATCCATAGGTGCCAGGAAGCACCACCCCTCCACCAGCCCCTCTGGTTGTGATAACCCAGAATGTCTTCAGATGTCAAATTTCCTCTGAGGTCAAAATCATTCCTGATTGAGAACCACTGATCTAAGAGGTCTTTCTAAGAGCAGAAATTCTCAAACTTTTTGGTCAGAGGACTCCTCAACACTTAAAATGTATTGAGGATCCCTGGCCAGGTGCCGTGGCTCACGCTTGTAATCCCAGCACTTTGGGAGGCCAAGGCAGGTGGATCACGAGGTCAGGGGTTCAAGACCAGCCTGGCCAAGATGATGAAACCCCGTCTCTACTAAAAATACAAAAATTAGCTGGGCATGGTGGCGTATGCCTATAATCTCAGCTCAGGAGACAGAGGCAGGGAATTGCTTGAACCTGAGCTCATGCCACTGCTCTCTAGCCTGGGTCTCAGTCTCAAGAAAAAAATGTATTGAGGATCCCAAAGAATTTCTGCTTATGTGGAATATAGCTATCAATATTTATCATATTAAAAATTAAAACAGAATAATTATATATTTGATTCACTTAAGAGGCCGAGCACAGTGGCTCACAGCTGCAATCACAGAACTTTGGGCAGTCGAGGCAGGCAGATCACCTCAGGTCGGGAGTTTGAGACCAGCTTAACTAACGAAGAAACCCCATCTCTACTAAAAATACAAAATTCCACTACTCAGGAGGCTGAGGCAGGGGAATCGCTTGAACCTGGGAGGTGGAGGTTGCGGTGAGCCAAGATTGTGCCAGCCTGGGCAACAAGAGCAAAACTCTGGCTCAAAAAAAAAAAAAAAAAGGAAATAAGAATAATAAGCTTGATGTATGTTAACATAATTAACATATTTTATATAACTATATTTATGCTATATACATATTCATGTATATCCATTTAATATACATACCCAGGTATATAACTGCATTTGCCATATGTATATATAATATTTATATGGATAATTATAAAGTAACTTTTCCAAAACAATTTATTGAGAAGGGTTTTATATTTTTGCAAATTTCTTTAATGTCTGGCATAATAGATGATAAGTAGATTCTCATATCTGCTTCTGTATTCAAAAGTTACTTTATAATTATCCATATAAATATTATATATACATATGGCAAATGCAGTTATATACCTGGGTATGTTATATACCTGTATTCAATCTGCTGTGAAATCATACATTGCGTAGCCTCTGGAAAATTTCTTCATGTATTCATGAGAGAATGAAAGTGAAAGAGGCAAATAATGTTTAATGTTATGATGAAAATAACTAACCTTGCCAATTTTCTGCAGAGGTCTCCACATTTTGATAATGATTTAAATAATATAAATATTTTAAGAAGTTAATCAAATATGAGTTTCTAACTTACTTTCTAACATCGAGCCAATCAGGAGTTTTAGGGGCACGGGTTTATTTTGGGATATTTTCTGAGGGAAGAATACGCTTTGCGATGCCCTTAAATATGTGGTGCAAACAAGTCACTTTCCTCTCTGCGTTTACATTTTTCTTTTATGTGTAAGACCTGGAGCTACAGAAAGAAAACTCGAAGATCTATTTTAGCTCTAAAAGTTTAATTCTGGGGCCGGGTGCAGTGGCTCACGGCTGTAATCCCAGCACTTTGGGAGGCCGAGGCGGGTGGATCACGACGCCAAGAGATCAAGACCATCCTGGTCAACATGGTGAAACCCCGTCTCTACTAAAAATACAAAAAATTAGCTGGGCATGGTGGCCCGTGCCTGTAATCCCAGCTACTCGGGAGGCTGAGGCAGGAGAATTGCCTGAACCCAGGAGGCGGAGGTTGCGGTGAGGCGAGATCACACCATTGCACTCCAGCCTGGGTAACAAGAGCGAAACTCCCTCTCAAAAAAAAAAAATAAAAGTTTAATTCTGCACTCTCATTAGGGAAGACGAGATTGTAGAAAACAGAGGTCAGTGAAACATTATGTTAACTTAATACTTTTCTCTCTCAGCTGTTCTGTAGGAAGTTATACAATCAATTTTCGGGAAATGACTTGTGGTTCCAATCCCATCCAACGCCTCTCCACTCCTTCTTCTGTCACGAAGCCAGGCAATCCTGTTTTCACCACCAAATGGATATGGTATTGGAAGAATGAATCTGGCAGATGGATTCAGTATGGAGAAGAGGTGAGCACTGTTCCTCCTTGTGGGGGAGGCCCTTGTTTAAAGTTGCCAACTTAAAAAGAACACTATTGGCTGGGTGTGGTGGCTCATGCCTGTAATCCCAGCACTTTGGGAGGCTGAGGTGGGTGGATCACCTGAGGTCAGGAGTTTGAGACTAGTCTGGCCAAGTGGCGAAACTCCATCTTTACTAAAAATACAAAAATTAGCCGGGCATGGTGGCACGTGTCTGTAATCCCAGCTACTCGGGAGGCTGAGGCAGGAGACTCTCTCGAACCTGGGGGGTGGAGGTTGCAGTGAGCTGAGATTGCACTCTATACTTCAGCCTGGGAAATAGAGCGAGACTGTCGCCAAAATTAAGAAATAAAATGAAATAAAAAAAAGAACACCATAGATAAAATGTTTGAAGGCTACGTGTTTACCCATGAAGTGTGGTTACAGGAAGTGGTATATTTTTACTTTGTACACAGCCATATTCAGTTTTTTTTCAGCAAGCATGCACTCCAATTATAATCATATATTAAAGCATATATTCATTTTTATTATTTTTTTTGAGACGGAGTTTTGCTCTTGTCACCCAGGCTGGAGTGCAATGGCGCGATCTCGCCTCACTGCAACCTCTGCCTCCTGGGTTCAGGCAATTCTCCTGCCTCAGCCTCCCGAGTAGCTGGGATTACAGGCACACGCCACCATGCCCAGCTAATTTTTTGTATTTTTAGTAGAGACGGGGTTTCACCATGTTGACCAGGATGGTCTCGATCTCTTGGCGTCGTGATCCACCTGCCTCGGCCTCCCAAAGTGCTGGGATTACAGGCGTGAGCCACCGTGCCCGGCCAGATTAGTTATTTTTAAGGAACTCCTTGAGACATATCAGCTGTACACCCGCCATTTCTCACCATCAGGGGAGGATATAGCTTTCTATGTATAAACACATAAATGTAGAGAGACTACTGCTTTGAGCTGAAAAAGAGGGTGAGAACTTAAATGACCATATGAATGATGGCATGGTTAATTATACCAGGGGATGTGTTAATTCACTCAAGCAATGAAACCACATAGATAGTCACTAGTATTCGATCAGAGTCTGGCTTTAAATGGACTTAAAAGACTGGAACTAGAAGATTCTAGGCTGATCCATAGTGGGAGCATAGAAATAGGGATGGAAGTTTAGATAAGCAGAGCTTCTGTCCCTCTGTCTCAGTGTCCCTTCCTCCCTTCAACTCACAGGATTAAAGAGTGAGAGAAACAGACCTCAAAGTAGGTAATGAAATCAGAGTGATGAGAAATGGAAAGTGAAAGCAAGAGATTCAAATGAAGCCGAAGATAATGCAGGGCCCAGGGGTGTACATCACCTGAAGTCAGGAGTTCGAGACCAGCCTGGCCAACACGGTGAAACCCCATTTTTCCTAAAAATACAAAAAATTAGCCAAGCTAGGTGGCGGGCGCCTGTAATCCCAGCTATTCGGGAGGCTGAGTCAGGAGAATCACTTGAACCTGGAGGTAGAGGTTGCAGTGAGCTGAGATCATGCCATTGCACTCCAGCCTGGGAGACAGAGCGAGATTCTGTCTCAAAAAAATTAAAGGAAAGAAAGAAAAGAGAGGATAACGCAGGGACACAGAAATGGCAGCGTAAGGTTCTACATATTTAGGTTGGTGCAAATTACTTTTCGTTCTGTAGTAATTACTTCTAATGGCAAAAACAGTGATTACTTTTGCACTGAACTAATAGTTACAGGTCAGTGGGCTATCTGTTTGGCTCTGAGCTGCCTAACTGCCAAAGCAAACAAAATTCTTGGGAGAGGCGTGGCTTTTTATGTTAATGAGGCCTGGGAAAAACACCTCCTAGAGTGGGCCACATAGCAGGGACCCTGTGTGCTGTGGTGAGGTCCTCAACCATCGACAGCCCTACTGTGAATTCAGCAGCATGGTGGTTTCCAAACTGTCTTAGCAGCAGATACATTTTATCATACCATCTTTCCAAGACCCTAAACAAGCCAACTAGAGTAGAGCAGGGCTGCCCCAGTGGAATAGGCTGCGGACTCAGAGCCTTCTCCTGGTCCCCTCCTTGTTGCTGTCCTCTCTCCTGTGGTGGCCCATGTAGCATCTCTGTGGAAGAGTTCTGCTGAAACTCCCATGTGTGAAAGTGCCTATGATGTTAAACTTGGCACAGATTCTTTTTATGCTCAAGCCAAGGATGAGATCAATTAAGCGATTCTGTTGGCACCCATGGAAATAAAATTATAAACCCAAATTAATTAGCCTTGGTTAAAATAAAAATAAGCTATAGGTCTCGATGGTTTTTATGTCAAATATTTGGAAATTTTCAGTAAGATACAAAGAAGGAGGGTTGGCAGACATTTGCGTTCTAGTGACATCAAGGTTCCAGGAGGCTGGGTGTGGTGGCTCATGCCTGTAATCCCGGAACTTTGGGAGGCCAAGGTGGGTAGATCAGCTGAGGTCAGGAATTCAAGACCATCCTGGCCAACATGGTGAAACCTCATCTCTATTAAAAATACAGCAAGGCCGGGCGCAGTGGCTCACACCTGTAATTCTAGCACTTTGGGAGGCCGAGGCGGACAGATCATGAGGTCAGGATATCGAGACCATTCTGGCCATGGTGAAACCCCATCACTACTAAAAAATATAAAAAATTATCCGGGTGTGGTGGTGCACACCTGTAGTCCTAGCTACTCAGGAGGCTGAGGCAGGGGAATCACTTGAATCCGGGAGACGGAGCTTGCAGTGAGCCGAGATTGTGCCACTGCACTCCAGCCTGGCGAAAGAGCAAGACTCCATCTCAAAAAAAAAAAAAAAAAAAAATACAACAACAACAACAAATTAGCCAGGCATGGTGGTGCGTACCTGTAATCCCAGCCACTTGAGAGGCTGAGGCAGGAGAACTGCTTGAAACCAAGAGGTAGGGGTTGCAGTGAGCCAAGATTGTGTTGCTGCACTCCAGCCTGGGCTACAGAGCAACACTCAAAAAAAAAAAAAAAGTTTCCAGGAACCAGAAAGAGCTATCAGGGGAAGAGATTGTATTTAAATTTATACAAGTTCAATCATGTTCCCTAATAAAACATCAAGAAACTTCCTGAGCTTCCCCGCCCCCCCCCAGATAGAATTTGACTTTTGTTGCCTAGGCTGGAGTGCAGTGGTGCAATCTTGGCTCACTGAAACCTCCACCTCCTGGATTCAAGCGATTCTCCTGCCTCAGCCTCCTGAGTAGCTGGGATTACAGGCGCCTGCCACCATGCCTGGCTAATATTTTGTACTTTTAATAGAGACGGGGTTTCACCATGTTGGTGAGGCTGGTCTTGAACTCGTGACCTCAGGTGATCCCCCTGCCTTGACCTCCCAAAGTGCTGGAATTACAGGTGTGAGCCACCACACCCAGCCCTTCCTGAGCTTTTTAAATACAAAGTTCTGGGACATTCAGTCTGTGTTAGCTGTTTATTTATTTTAATTTTTGTATTCTGGATTTCCATGAAAACTGTAGCGTTTTTAGAATGTAACAGTCGATCTGCAAACACATGACTGTTGTATTCATTAAATGTGACATGTTTGTTGGATGTTCACTGAAGATGTGAATGAACTCTTACTGTCTTATACTAATAAGACCCATCATTATATAAATTGAGTTCAATCTAGTTAAAAAAAAAAAGGAAAAAAAAAGGAAAAATCAGACCCTGGGTTTACTATTTTCCTTGTGGTCAGTCCAAATAAAATTAGAATGATGTTTCCAGGAGATTCGAACCCCACATATTAGGAGCACATAGTAGAACCCCACATATTAGGACCCTGGTTTCTTTCATGAGTCAATACATTATGGTCCAAGTTTGCAACTTTTTTTCTTTTTTTTTTTTTTGTTTGTTTTTTTGAGATGGAGTTTCGCTCTTGTTGTCCAGGCTGGAGTGCAATGGCACGATCTTGGCTCACTGCAACCTACGCCTCCTGGGTTCAGGCAATTCTCCTGCCTCAGCTTCCCGAGTAGCTGGGATTACAGGCACACGCAACCACGCCCAGCTAATTTTTTGTATTTCTAGTAGAGACGGGGTTTCACCATGTTGACCAGGATGGTCTCGATCTCTTGACCTCGTGATCCACCCGCCTTGGCCTCCCAAAGTGCTGGGATTACAGGCTTGAGCCACCGCACCCGGCCCCAAGTTTGCAACTGTTTGGTGACCTGACTTGAGCCAGTGTACAGGCTAGAATATTTTGAGAAAAGAGTGGACTGTTTGCTTTCAGACAGTGCCCCACAGCTTTTATTTCTTGTAACCGAATTTTGAATAAGTCAGGCAATTTGGAGTTCTGGGTTGGTGTCTCTCTAATAGGAACTTGAGGTGTAGAAACCTTTGCCGACAGAGTAGGTACAAATGCTTTGATGATGAGCTCTCTGGGAGGTAAAATAGATACCCTTTTATGGAAATTGATATGCTTAACCAGGACTCGTACTTACATAGATGGTGGACAGGGAGAGGGTGTGGTATTAGGAGAAGTGTTGATTGAATAGCTGGGCATTTGGGCAGCAATGGTGTAGGGCAGTGATAGCAGGACTGACCGAAGGCAAAGCCTGACAGTTACTGGATGTGCATCAGGTAGGGTATGCAGATTCGGGTCCTCGAAGATGTTTACCAGCAAAGTAGCTAAGCTTAGCAGCTGTGGAAGCTGGTGTTGAGGAATAGCAGGAGGCTATGGCCTGAGAAACCCTCTCAGAGCAAAGACAAGCCACAGCTCCAGAAAGCCGAGGTCAAGGCAATCATTGACACACAGAGGACAAAAGCTAAAGGCCGGGCGCGGTGGCTCACGCCTATAATCCCCGCACTTTGGGAGGCTGAGGCGGGTGGATCACAAGGTCAAGAGATCGAGACCATCCTGGTCCACATGGTAAACCCCGTCTCTACTAAAAATACAAAAATTAGCTGGGCATGGTGGTGCATGCCTGTAGTCCCAGCTACTCGGGAGGCTGAGGCAGGAGAATTGCGTGAATCCAGGAGGCAGAGGTTGCGGTGAGCCGAGATCGCGCCATTGCACTCCAGCCTGGGTAACAAGAGCGAAACTTCGTCTCAAAAAAAAAAAAAAAAAGCTAAGACCTGTTTGCTGCAACTGAGACATAAATTCAAGTCTTGTGGGAAATAAGTAATTGACGGCTGTATGATTCATTCATTTATTCAGACCTGGAGTCCAGTACTATACTCTAGGACACATTATGGCTGTTAAATTAATAGTAGCTAAAAGGTCTAAAGAGACAACTCGCAAGGCTGTCGCTACCTGTCACTTAAGAGTATGGGACAACTGTAGTTTAGGATTGCCAAAGAACTGGGGCCAGCTCAGCACAGATTTGACTTTCAGATACCACAGAAAAGATGAATCCTTACAAGAATAGCTTAAGATACTTTTATAATAGAAACACGTGGTAATTGACCCAGACAGCACACAGGTACAAGAGAGGGACTTTGAGAGTTGCTTCTCGACCAGCAGTCAGTCACGTGACCTGTTGACCTTAACATACCCATGGCATGGGTATGCTCCCACTGTCCTTTTAGTCTTCCAATAGCGAGGCTTGAATGAACCAGCCTATACAGCAAACAGTGCCTGAGATTCATCTCTGATGTGGACTAAACCAAGGGGAAATGTTACCTTGAGGACTGCACCACCTATCAGGCTTCATGAACATGACACATGCAGTGTGGGGGCAGGGCTAGAGAAGGCCAGAGTGGAGCCGGGCCAGGCTGCGCCGATGCTTAGACACTGAGTTAATGGCTCTGTGCTGTCCAGTGTGACAACCACTTACCATATATGGCAATTTCATTTTAAACTTTAACTAAACACGTAAAAAATTAAGAAACCAGTTCCGTGGTCACTGTAGTCACATTTTCAGTGCTCTGTAGCCATGTATATATAGCTTGGCTACTGAAGGAGTTAAAAATTTGCCACTCTGGCATATTGACTATTTTGAGTTAAAAGCACTTGAAAAACAGCAGGTGAAAGACAATTGTTCTGACTTTCTGTTACTTAAAAGCTGGAGATGAAATTCCCATTTATTAGTTTGAATATTAAAAGTACTGGAAGGGGCCAGGTACAGTGGCTCATGCCTGTAATCCCAGCACTTTGGGAGGTTGAGGTGGGCGGATCACTTGAGGTCAGGAGTTCGAGACCAGCCTGGCCAACATGGCGAAACCCCATCTCTACTAAAAATACAAAAATTAGCCTGGCATGGTGGTGGGTGGCTGCAATCCCAGCTACTCGGGAGGCTGAGGCAGGAGAATTGCTTGAACCCAGGAGATGGAGGTTGCAGTGAGCTAAGATTGCACCACTACACTCCAGCTTGGGTGACAGAGTGAGACTCACTGTCTCAAAAAAAAAGAAAGATGTCCTCCCTATACCAGAATGAAAGTAGCCTTCTTATCATCAAGGACAGGAAACCTGTGTAAACAAATCCCATTAGACAAGTCTTTATCCTCCTGGACGCTTCTCCACTCAGTTAACTTCCCTAGCCCAAGCCTCTTTGCCTCATCCCATTTTTATAATTTATGACTCTTTGTCTAATTCAGTACAAGGGTTCATCTCTAACCACAGCTTTAGTCTCAATTTCTTAGGAAGGCTTCTGTGCCACATAAAACTTGTATTAAAGAAATGTGATGCTATTCTGTTGGCCTGTCTTTTTGTATATAAATTTGTGGAGTACAAATGTAATTTTGTCACAGGCATAGATTACCTAGTAGTAAAGTCAGGGCTTCTAGGGTATCCATCACCTGAATAATATACACTGCACCCATTAAGTAATGTACTCCCATCCCAACATGCGCTATCCTTCTGAGTCTCCATTGCTTGTCATTCCTATTGGGGTCTTATATCAATTTAATGCTCAAGTCCCCCCAAAACACTGTAAATGGATGGAGGTGAAATTTTGCTTTCCCAGCCGGGCGCAGTAGCTCATCTCTGTAATCCCAGCACTTTGAAAGACTGAGGTAGGTGGATCACCTGAGGTCAGGAGTTTGAGACCAGCCTGATCAATATAGTGAAACCCCTGTCTCTACTGAAAATATAAAAATTAGCTGGGCTGTGGTGATGTATGCCTATAATTCCAGCTATTCAGGAGGCTGAAGTCGGAGAATACCTTGAACGCAGGAGGTGGAGGTTGCAGTGAGCCGAGATCGTGCCACTGCACTGCAGCCTGGGTAACAGAGGGATACCCTGTCAAAAAGAAAAGAAAAAAGGAAAGGAGACCCTGAGAGAGAGAGAGAGAGAGAAAGGAAGAGGGAGACCCTGTCAAAAGAAAGAGAGAAAGAAAGAAAGAGGGAGACTGTGTCAAAAAAAAAAGAGAGAAAAAGGAAGAAAGAAAGAAAGAAAGAAAAGAATTTTGTTTCTTCCACATACATATCATATAGGACAGCACAGAGAACATTTTTATCACCACAGAATGTTCTAGTCAACAGCACTGGTGTAGACCCTAGAGCCCCAGAGCCTTCCTAGTCAAAGCGAGGTCCACAGACCAGAAGCATCAGCCTCAGCATCATGCAGGAGCTGGCTGAAGTATAGAATCTAAATCGTCCCCCGCTTTCCTGGAATCATATCTGCACTCGATCCCTGGGGCATTCACATGTGTGTCAAAGTTCGAAAGTCTCTGGCCTTTTAAGCCAGGAACAGGGTGGGTTCTACAGAGCTAAGCAGGCAGTGGATGGATACAGGACTCCAGCTGTAGGGATGGGAAATTGGGAAGTGATTCAGCTAGTGGTGAAACCAGGGGATACCAAGGTACCAGAGCTGCTCCACCTGTCCCTCATTGTGCCAGAGGTGTTTTGCCCACTTGGGCCAGAGGAAGGCATACAGTTTACCAGGCATCATCAAGTCATGGCAGCGATCTCTTCTACAATCGTCCTGAAAAACACTATCCACAAAGCTATGGCAACAAGCGTCTTCATGATAGGACTTAGTTGTTGGCTGCTGTCGGTTAGAACATTCTGCTGAAGTCGGTGTCCTTGTCCCTTCCACCCTTTGTACAGGTTTTACCTCCTGAAACACATTCAAGTTGATTTCCACTTTGCCCTGTGTGCAAATATTTGAACACTGCTTTCTGCTCTAACCATGCTCCACTCCGGATAAAGAGAGCCAGCTCAGGCCTTTCTCTGTCCAGGACCTTTTTCTTGGACACTTTCATTCTGTTGCCCCCCTCTTAACATTCAGCAGGCATTTCCATTAGGGAAGGGTAAGAGGCATGGGTCTAGCTGAAAGCCGGAGTCTGGAATGTCGTACTAAAGAAGGAACCGTGAGCCCCTCCCCACCATGGCTGCCTGTAAAATTTTGCTGTCATTAACTCCTTTGTTCTCGATCACAGGAAACACAGTGTCTCTTCACCATCAAATACTGAGAACCCCTCCTCTAGGAGCACATGTCTAGTTTGCCCTGGTCGGCCACCCTGCACCCTTGCTAAAATCAACTCATTTCCCTTGTACCTGTCCATTCTGATATTTGCATGCTTTATCATATGCTTTGAGATTATAGGTTTACATTCTGGGGTGATGCCTCATCCCTTATTATCGCTCCAGTCAGTGGCAACTCCAAGTGCATTTTCAATGCAGTTGGCTAGCAGGAGACTTTGCCAGTTTTGTTTACTTACTCTGGTTCAGGGCAGAGGAGAGGTTATTTATATTTGGACACCGCTCCTAGTGGAGTTTGGACGAGGAGCAGACGATCTTTCTTCACTTCATGACAGGCTAGACTAGCCTGCGATGTTCTATTTCATGCAAAAGATGGTGTGAGATTCTGTTAGATGCTGACGTGGCATCACAAAAGGGGAGATGCAAGTTGCTCTGTACATTTGGCTCGTATTTTATAGAAGGTTGTAAAAGATATTGCAAAAAGCTACAGTTTTCTGGCATCCCCCAAGCATGCAGTCAGTTTCTACGGGATAGACTGCTGTCTCTTAGGTACTGAAATAGAGAAGACCACAGAAGTTTGTGACATAGCCCTCTGTTGGACGTTCTTACAATCTGGTTTGGGAAGCAGACTGCACTCCTGTTCACATCCCATTGCTCAAATGAAATCCTGTAACAGTAGAGATTTCCTAAAAACTTCTGAACTCTTTACCTTTTATTTTTTTTCAATTTAGAAAGACAATCAGAAAAGTTCAAGCATCGACTCTTCATACCTGGAGGCTTTCTATCAGTCCTGTCCGAGGGGAGTTGTGCCGTTTCAGGCGGGCTCACGGAACTATGAGCTGAGTTTCCAAGGTAAGATTCTGTGTTTGGCAGTGTTGTGTGTCATGGAAAGCCACCTGCAGTGTACATGGGAGGGGGAGCAGAGTGGGTATGTATTGCCAAGGTCAAGGTCAAGATTTAGCAAGGTGGTAGAGTGCAAGCCAGTGGCCATCAGAAGACCTGTGTTCTAGAGCTCTGGCTCTGACGAACACTTGCTCTGCCACCCTGGGAGGGGCGCCTGGCCTATGTAGGCCCACTTCTCTCAACTGCAAAATCAGGGGCTCAAGAAGTCGTCTTGGGCGTGCTTCTAGCTCTGCCATGCTGTTTCTGATTCTGGGTGGTCAGCTGCCCAGGCAGAGGCATAATTTCAGATGCTGGTGACTACAGTAAAGACCTCGGGCTTTTGGGCACCTTCAGAGTTTTAGAAACTTGCTGTTTCTTTTATGCTTTATCATCCAGGTCAGTGGCTTCATCATCACATTGATTAAAGTACTTTGCCTTCTGCCATGTTTATTGGAGCTACTGTAGAAAGGTCTTCTGGTGAGCTGCCGCCAATCTACCTGCTGTGTTTAGTTAGGCCTTCTGAAGGTACTGTCCCATCCATTGGGCACACCCTAGGACACTGCCTGCACATGACCAGGGACTTGCAGGTGCTTTAGAAGAGGTAAAGGAGCCTTTCTAAGGTCCCTGAATTCCCAGATGGTACCTGCAGTTGGGTCGTCTATCACTTAGTGTGCATTAGGTGATGTAGCTTTTACAAGGACCATTATACCAAGTATTTGGGAAAACAGCCTGGCAGTACCAGGGCCATTAACATTTGCTAATATGCTTGTCTTTTCATTCCCCCAGGAACTTTTCTTAGGAAATAATTCACTAGAAGAAGGGGGAAGAAAGCTATAGGCATAAAGTAAGGTGCTTGTTAACCAGCATGGTATGACCAACAGAATGGTAGATAAACACCAGTGCCCACAGTATTAAAAGTGGACTGGTCTGTGCACCAGTACAGCAGTGACTACATAAATCAGGGTACTAAATTTGAGTGGCATATTTGGCACTTGTTAAAGATTTTGATCATGAAAACTAGATAGGAAATGCAAAATTTGATATTGTTCAATGAAAAAGGCAGAACACGCTTTTTTTTTTTTTTTTTTTTTTTTTTGGAGATGGAGTCTCCCACTGTCGACTGGGGCTGGAGTGCAGTGGCACAATCTCGGCTCACCACAACCTCCGCCTCCCAGGTTCCCAGGTTGAAGTGATTCTCCTCGCGTCAGTCACCCAAGTAGCTGGGATTATAGGCACCAGCCACCAGGTCTGGCTAATAGTAGAGGCGGGGTTTCATTAGTTGGCCGGGCTTGTCTGGAACTCATGACCTCGTGATCTGCCTTCCTCGGCTTCCCGAAGTGCTGGGATTACAGGCATGAGCCATAGCACCTGGCTTTTTTTTTTGAGACGGGGTCCCACTCTGTCAATCAAGTGCCATTATGGCTCACTGCAGCCTCAACCTCCCCAGCTCAAGAGATCCTCTCACCTCTGCCTCCCAACTAACTGGGACTTCAGGTGCATGCCACCATGCCCAGCTAATTTTTAAATTTTTTGTGGAGACGTGGATCTTACTATGTTGCCCAGGCTGATCTTGAACTCCTGAGCTCAAGCAATCTTCCCACCTCAACCTCCCAAAATGCTTGGATTACAGGCATGAGCCACAGTGCTCAGCCAGAACCCCAAATTTATGTTTCTGCATTTTTCTGTTTATATTTAATATAGAAAAGTTTAAAAAAAAAAAAAAATCAATGTGCATGATAATTGTGGCAATTCGTGCATGGGGGCCAAGACTGGAAGATAATAGTGACAAATTTAAATCTCTTCTATTGGGTGGTAGAATTAAAAATGACTTAAATACTGCCGGGTGTGGTGGCTCATGCTTGTAATCCTAGCACTTTGGGAGGCCAAGGTGGGTGAATCACCTGAGGTCGGGAGTTCAAGACCAGCCTGGCCATCATGGTGAAATCCCATCTTTGTAAAATAAAAATAAATATATAAAAAACAACCAAAAAAAAGACAAATTCTAAAGAAATTCTTAGGTGATATGATATTGTTTTTATGGTTTAAAAGGGTGGTGCAGAGATGAGAGCCAATAGGCTTTGTTCCTGGTCTAGAGCAATTTGTCCAGCTACTTCTGTTTGTTTGGTTCATAGAAACCAGTTCAGAGCAGTTTGTAGTGTTCCGGATGGCTTTTCCCTCCCTCCCTTCCTTCTTTCCTTCCCTTCCTCTTCTTCCTCCCTCCCTCCCTCCCTCCCTCTTTCTTTCTTTCTCTTTCTTTTTCTTTCTGTCTCTCTTTCTTTTCTTTTCTTTTCTTTCTGCTCATGCAACTCCCACCTCCCAGGTTCAAGAGATTCTCCTGCCTCAACCTCCCAAGTAGCTGGGATTATAGGCATGCAACACCACGCATGACTAATTTCGTATTTTTAGTAGAGATGGAGTTTCTCCATGTTGGTCAGGCTGGTCTCAAACCCCTGACTTCAGATGATCTGCCTGCCTTGGCCTCCCAAACTGCTGGGATTACAGGCGTGCCACTGCACCTGGCCATGGCTTTTTCTATTTCTTAACTAGATTGCAAGTGTATTCTGTCATGCATTAAGCTAGTATCTGAGTGCCAGCTGTGTACTGGCCACTGCTGTAGGGGCTGGGATACAGTGATGAGGTTGCTCTTCCAGCCTATATTCAAGAGGGTGGTGAGAGGCAGTGATCAGGTAAACAAGTCAGGCCATTTCAGAAAGCAGTAACAGTTACTGAGAAAATGAACAGTGCCAGGAAGCAACCAGAGAATGGAGGAGTCAGTGGGACAGCACTTACATTTATAGAGCAGCCTCTGCCTGGGGGAAGAAGGGCGCTCCAGGAGAAGGAAGAACGAAGGCCAGGGCTGGAAGGTACAGACCAGCTTGAAGTTTCACAGAACAGGTAGATGGTCTGTAAGAGATGAGAGCAGAGATAGAAACTTGGCCCTTTTATTAGGCAGAAGCCTTGGGAAGACTTGAGCAGTGCTGTAGCATGATCCGATTTGCTTTTTTTGTGGTTTATGTTTGTTTTATATTTTAAGTGTGCAGTCGGATGAGTACTGACAAATGTGTGTAACTGCGATTCTAAGCAGGATATAGAACATTTCCATCAATCCCAAAAGTTTCTTCCTGTCTCTGCAATCAGTCTCCCAGCCACACACCGCACACCTGCTGTATTCTCCTCACAGACTATTGCTGATAGCTTTCTGTCCCTGTAACTTAGTTTGACCTGTTCTAGAACTTCATATTAATCAATGCTTGCGGTAGGCACGTTGCATGTGGCTGACTTCTTTTACTCCGAATAACGCCTTTTAGATTCATCCACGGGTTCTTCCCCTTTCATTACCGAATCACATCCATTGAAAGGCGATTCCATAGTTTATTCTTTTACCAGCTGACGGATATTTAGGTTATTTCTGCTTTTTGGTTATCATAATAATGTGGCTGTGAACATTCGTATGCTTGCCTTTGTGTGGATATAGGTTTTCATTTCTCTTGGGAAAGTACCCAGGCATGGTATTGCTAAATCATCTAGGAGTGCATGTTTAACTATATAAAAAACCACCGACGTGGTGGTTCTGTTTTACACTCTCACTAACAATGGATTATGATTTACTTTTGAAAGGGATCACTCTGATTGCCGTTTGGACCGAGGTTTACAACATGAATTGAAAACGGTATTTCATACCTAATGTAGAAAAAACCCTTGGCCGGGCGCAGTGGCTCAAGCCTGTAATCCCAGCACTTTGGGAGGCCGAGGCGGGTGGATCACAAGGTCAAGAAATCAAGACCATCCTGGTCAACATGGTTGAAACCCCATCTCTACTAAAAATACAAAAAATTAGCTGGGCACGGTGGCGCGTGCCTGTAGTCCCAGCTACTGAGGAGGCTGAGGCAGGAGAATTGCCTGAACCCAGGAGGCGGAGGTTGCAGTGAGCCGAGATCGCACCATTGCACTCCAGCCTGGGTAACAAGAGCGAAACTCCGTCTCAAAAAAAAAGAAAAAAACCCTTGAAGACAGCTACCAGATTCCAGCCCATAATCACTGATATCTGGTGCAGGGAAGCTTGCAAGGGTGGTGTCTTTTTATTTGGCTCCCCCAGCTCTCCTCCTTTACCATCCAACTTGGATTTAAAGATTAGATTAATTCGTGAATATTCATTTACTCCTTTGCTTTCTGAGCCTTCTACTAATGGCAGTGAAGGATCTAAGTCTTTTACTGTGAGCAATTCTCATCCCAAAGGATTTTCTCTATTCCTATACATACAGGTCACTCTTGAATGTTTGCTGTGTAAATAGCCTCTGCAAAATAACAAGAAGTCATTTTCTAGGACTGATCTTGATTCTCACTGCTTTTATGTTTTTCTATCCAAAGGGATGGTTCAGACAAACGTAGCTTCCAAAACTCAAAAGGATGTCATCAGAAGACCAAAATTTGTGTCTCTGTGGGATGTGGAACAGATGAAAAGAAGACCAGAGTAAGTGTTCTGAAGCAGCTGTTTGCTGATGGATGCTTGAGATGCTTGTCCTGGGCTCATGGAGTCACTCGTGAATCTGGAGCCTATTTTCCTGAAAAGTTCCAGCTTGCATTACTCTGCAGTTTCATTTGCATTATCCATGAGTAAGATGCTTGTTAAGCAGCATGGTGTGATTGAAAAGGATACTAGATCCAAAAAAACTTACAGGGGAGTCTGAGCAAGTCTCAGATACTCTGGGCTTTAGCTTCTCCTGCTGTGAAAAGCTGGACTGATACAGTGCACCTGAGAAATTATCACATGCACTGGGTTTTTGTTTTGCTGTGGATTCTTTTCTTTAAGAAACGGTGTCTCACTTTGTTGCCTAGTCTGGTCTCCAACTCCCAAGCTCAAGTGATCTCCTACCTCAGCCTTCCAAAGTGCTGGGATTGCAGACATGAGCCACCGTGCCTGGCTTTGCTGTGGATTCTTTTGTGTGCCTTCTTTAGTCTTGCTACACGATTTACAGAGAATGAGAGGCGGAGAAAGATAGGAAAAAGGGGTGGGGTAGCTGTTAGAGCAAGGGCTTCGGAGAGGTAAAGCTGATCGAAGGGATTTTAAAGGAGATGCTGTGGAGGCTTCGTTGTAACTCTCCTTGTAAACTCTACATTGTTCACGAACATTTTTGGAGTTGGATTTTTTTTTTCCTGGGTGATATATGAGTATATAAACCAGGCTTCAAAGCAAGTATAAAATCAAGGTGTTCTAACTAGGTTCTTTTGGTTGTAAGAATTCAAGCTATTTGATGAAAAAGGGAACTTACTAAAAAGATAAATAACTTTGAGGTCATATGGAAAACAACTCGCAAGAATCTAAGAATGGAAACTGAGCTATATCAGGGCCTCAGGAAGGGAAGTTGCTTCCAATTCTGCTTTAGAAGTGGAGGAGCCTAGAGTCAAAGATCCTTTCTGGGTACCAGGTTAACAGCCTGGACTCTGGATCTAGCTCACCTAAGTTCAGATTCCACCCTGCCACCCATGAGCCGCGTGGATTTGGACAAATGAATGACTCTATATCCTCATCTGTAAAATGGGCTTAATCATAATACCTTCCTCACTGTTGCTTGGGTGACATATTCCAAACACTCATCAGGTGTTCAGTAAATGCTAACTGCCCTGGTTAGTATTATTTTTATTCCCTTGCTATTAAAAGACTTGGTAACTATATATTTAATTAAGTTGACTTAATTCTAATTCATAATCCCAACCTGCATATCCCTTCAGCCTTATCTTCTGCCACTAACTGCCTAATTTTCTCTGAATTTCTCAAGTTGATCTCCCAAGAATTAGAATCTGATTGGTGTAGCTATCTAAAGTCCCTTTCAGTTATTTATTTATTTAAGTCTCACTCTGTTGCCCAGGTTGGAGTGCAGTGGCACAGTCTTGGCTCACTGCAACCTCTGCCTCTCAGTTGAAGTCATTCTCATGCCTCAGCCTCCCAAGTAGCTGGGACTATAGGTGCATGCTACTATGCCCAGCTAATTTTCGTATTTTTAGTAGAGATGGGGTTTTACCATGAGGGCCAGTCTGATCTCAAACCCTTGACCTCAGGTGATATGCCTGCCTCGACCTCCCAAAGTGTTGGGATAACAGGCGTCAGCCACTGCCCCTGGCCCCTTCCCCTTACTTTATTACTAAATTAATAAAGTAAGAAGAATATTTCAGGGTTTAGGGGAGAGGAGTAAAGCCCATGCCCTCACAGAGCTTATATTCTGGTGGATGAGGCAGTAACTATGTCAGTTCCTGACAAGTGTTAGGAGGGGGAAAAAGGCAGAGTAGGAGGACAGGGAGAGGCTGTTCACATTCCGCTGATGAATGAGATCATCAGAGCTGCTTTTCATTCATTAGAATGGTTCTGGCAGGATATCTTCACAAAGGTGCGTTTGAACAGTATTGCCTTAAAGCAACAAAATTGTCTATTTTTTTTAAAAACAAGGTCCAGTAATTTTTTAACAATTCAAATGCTCCCAGTTAGTCTCAACTAGTGAGACCACACTTTATGGCTCTTCTGGACAGCAGGAACTACGGAAAGTGTAGAGACCTTGTCTCTAAACTGGATGATTCTTTCTGTGCACATATATTTCTAGGGGAAAAAATTGGTTTGTGGCATTTCCAGAAAGCTCCTGTAGTTAGCCATTGTCAGTCTCAATGGCTTCCATATGTCACAGTTGCTTCATGCTTTTCCATTTGTTCTTCCCCTCTCCAGGAGTACTCTTCCCATCATTCACATGGATCCAGCATACCTCATGATTTAGCTGGAATGGCACTTTCCCATTCTGACATTCCTTGTGACTCTCCTCCAATTCTCCTGTGCCCTCCAGAACACTGGAGATTCCATTATAGTTGTTACCCACTTCTACCTTGTAATACAGTTATTCATGTAAATGTCATCTCGAGCATGAGCACAACCTTCCCTCCTCCTCCCTTCCCCCTCTCTCCCCACCAGCCCCAATTATCAGCTCCATAGAGCTCTTGAAATATTTTGGTGGTGTTTTGTTTTTTTTTTTTTTTTTTGGTTGCTGGGGTGCAATGGCACGATCTCAGCTCACTGCAGCCTCAACGTCCCGGGCTCAGGTGACCTTCCCACTGCAGCCACCTGAGTGAGTAACTAGGACTGTGGATGCACACCACCACACCTGGCTAATTTTTGTATTTTTTAAAATAGAGACACGGTTTCGCCATGTTGCCCAGGCTGTCTTAGAATATTTTGTATAATGCATGGCACATAGTGATAATAAATCGCCACATGAGTAAAAAATAAAATAAATTGGGGAAGACGTGTTAGTGGGCAGGGGGCAGGGGGGTCATGCAGAGAACCTACTTTAATCCTGCTCTCTCACTAGCCCAAGGAATCTTGGTGTGGGATGGAATAAGGGCTGGGGTACTATCCTGAACTGCAGTGGGATATAGACATGAACTATAGCACAGTCACTATTCATGGGCATCTTATAACATATTCATTCAATCTATCCTGTGTTATACAAATCCAGAATGGAAACCTGAGCTTAAAATAGAGATAAATTGGGGCCAGTCTTTCTCATTCTAAGGCGTCTTCTTTTTATACAAGGAAGTCTTCAGAGAGTTTTTTTCTTCAAGCATTTATTTTTTTAAATATAATTATTTAGTACGTGGAAAATTTCAAATATAAAGCACAAGGAATTGTTAATAAATCTCTATGTAATTATCATCCAACTTAAACACTGTCAATATTTTACCATCTTTTTTTTTTTTTTTTTTTTTTTGAGATGGAGTCTCACTCTGTCCCCTAGGCTGGAGTGCAGTGGTTCCATCTCAGCTCACTGCAACCTCTGCCTCCCAGGTTCAAGTGATTCTCCTGCCTCAGCCTCCCAAGTAGCTGGGACTATAGGCAAGGGCCACCATGCCTGGCTAATTTTTTTTTTTTTTTAATTTTTACTTTTAGTAGAGACAGGGTTTCATCATGTTGGCCAGGATGGTCTCGATCTCTTGACCTCGTGAGCCACCTCGCCCAGCAATATTTTACCATCTTGTTACCATCATCACCTCTAAACTTTTTTTTGAGAAAAAGTCTCACTCTGCATGCAGGTTAGGGTGCAGTGGTGCAGTCGTGGCTCACTGCAGCCTCAACCACCTGGACTCAGTGATCCTTCCACCTTAGCCTCCCAAGTAGCTGGGACTATAGCTCTGCACCACCACACCTGGATAATTTTTTTAAAAAATTCTTTTAATGGCTGGGTGTGGTGGCACACACCTGTAATCCTAGCACTTTGAGAGGCAGAGGTGCGCGGATCACAAAGTTGGGAGTTCAAGACCAGCTTCACCAATATGTTGCAACTTGTCTCTACTAAAAATACAAAAATCAGCCAGGTATGGTTGTAGGCGCCTGTAGTCCCAGTTACTTGGGAGGCTGAGGCAGGAGAATTGCTTGAACCCAGGAGGCGGAGGTTGCCGTGACACGAGATCATACCACTGCACTCCAGCCTGGGTGACAGAGCGAGACTCTGTCTCAAAAAAAAAAAAAAAAAAAAAAACATTTTATAGAGATTGAAGAGGAGTCCCACTATGTTGCCCAGGCTGGTCTTGAACTCAAGAGCTCAAGCAATCCTCCTGCCTTGGCCTTCCAAAGTGCTGGGATTATAGGCATGAGCCACCATACCTGGCCTAATTTTTTTTCTTTTGCTGAAATGTTTTAATGTAAATCCAATACATGTTATCATTTTCCTCTATATATATATTAGGTGTGTTCCTAACAGGTAAGAGGTTTTGAAAACATTATACAACATCATTAACCTAGGTAACAAAGTTAACGATAATTCCTTAATATCATCTAATATCCAGTTCATGTTTTATGTTTTCCCATTGTCTTAAACAGTGACTATTTAGAGTTGATATATTGCAATCAGTATCTAAGCAGGGTCTGTACATTGCATTTGGTTGATTTGTGTCATAAACCTCTTAGTCTGCTACAGTTTCCCCTCCTTCACTTTTTTCATGCAATTTCATTTTTTAAGAAACTAGATAGGCCAGGTGTGGTGGCTCATACCTGTAATCCCAGCACTTTTGAAGGCTGAGGCAGGAGGATTGCTTAAGCCCGGGAGTTTAAAACCAGCCTGGGCAACATGGTGAGACCCCATCTCTACGAAAACTTTTTAAAAAGTTAGGTGTGGTGGTACACACTTGTGGTCCCAGATACTAAAAAGGCTAAGGCGGGAGGATTGCTTGAGACCAGGAGGCTGACCTGTGTTTGTACCACTGTACTCCAGCCTGGGCAACAGGGAGAGACTCTGTCTTAAAAAAACAAACAATAAAAACAACAACCAGGTGGTTTGACCTATAGAGTTTTCCAAATTCAAAATGTGGGAAATCAACCTGGCATGCTGTCTTCTGCTTATAATCCTAGCATTTTAGGAGGCTGAGGTGGGAGGATCACTTGGGCCCAGGAGGTTGAGGATATAGTGAGCCATGAACACACCAGTGTATTTCAGCCTGGATGACAGAGCAAAACTCTGTCTCAAAACAAATTAGCAAATTGTTTACTCATGGGGTCATTTGGTGTGTAATTTCCATAAATTGATCATTAGATTTAGAGAACTGATGGCTGGACACGGTGGCTCATGCCTGTAATCCCAGCACTTTGGAGGCCAAGGTGGGCGGATCACCTGAGGTCAGGAGTTCAAGACCAGCCTGACCAACATGGTGAAACCCCATCTTTAAAAAAAAAAAGGGGGGGTGCTGGGCACCGTGGCTCGAGCCTGTAATCCCAGCACTTTGGGAGGCCGAGGCGGTTGGATCACAAGGTCAAGAGATCGAGACCATCCTGGTCAACATGGTGAAACCCCGTTTCTACTGAAAATACAAAAATTAGCTGGGCATGGTGGCGCATGCCTGTAATCCCAGCTACTCAGGAGTCTGAGGCAGGAGAATTGCCTGAACCCAGGAGGCAGAGGTTGTGGTGAGCCGAGATCATGCCATTGCACTCCAGCCTGGGTAACAAGAGTGAAACTCCGTCTCAAGAAAAAAAAAAAAAGAGATTTAGAGAACTGATTAGATTTAGGTTCCATTTTTTTGAATCAAGAATACTACACAATTGATGGCTTTGTACCAGTGATCCCATCCCATCTTATGAAGAGATATACAGTGTCTGATTGTCCTGTTTTTAGTGATGGAGATCACAGAGTAGATTCAAGTCATTCCAGTCTGATCATTCTACTGTACTATTCATCTGATCTTTCACTTAATGGTTTTAGTAGCTATCTATCAACTCTTCCATAACTATTAGTGTGATTCATCTATAAAGAAAAATTTTTCTGATAACTTTAGGTTCTATGGAATAGAAAAAAAAAGGAATTGTTTCTCAGATATAGTTACCCTGAAATACAGTTCATACTAGAAAGACAGAATTCTTTCCTCTAAATTCCTAATATACTTAATTGTTTATCTTTTGACAAAGAAGCTGTAAGTCACATTTGCTTAATGCTAACACATTAGGACCTTTGAATGTTGAGCAGAAATATAAAAAAGAATCAATGCTTTTACATTTTAAATCAACAGGAAAATAGCATTTAATTTACCGATTATGAATAGTTGCAGCATTTTATTTAAAAACGTGATTACTGGTACATCTATAGCAGGTATATGCGAGGATGTAGTCCAAAGAAAAATACAGAAAGAAATATTGTGTATTTCTCTAAGTATCCTTGGCCGAGTGGCTGGAAGTTAAGATAAAGGGTAGCTTGGGCCTGTGGAACAGAATTAAGTGAATTCCTTCTGTTTCTTTGTAGCCATCAGCCAGCACAGACCTCGTCAACGCCTATAACTGCCACCTTTCTTCCTCAGCAGGACCTTTGCTTCCTATCCTCAAAAAAATATAAGGTACTTGGTTTTTACATATTTGCTGTGTGAATCTGTTAAATGTTAGAAAAAGTACTTTGCTACAAGTGTATGTGTTTGTCTGGATGAATGAATTGCTCCACAAAACTCTTAGATCAAGGTGGAAAGGCAGACATCGAATGGTTTTCTTTCCCACAGATCACCTAACTGCTCTAGGTGCCTCATTCTTCCCAGAGTTCAGCCACACAGTCTCATTTGGCCAGATCCTCACAACAACCATGTGAGATGGATATTGACATCTCTGTCTTACAGAGGAGAAAACTAGAACTTAGAGAGTGAAAGTGACTTGTCTGTTAGTTACAATTAACAAGTTTCTATGGGTGTCAAACTGCCTCACTTTGTTACCTAACCTAGTTGGAGCATGACTTTTCCTAGATAGCTTAGCCTCCCCATGCTGGCTTCAGCTTTTGTGCAGGCTGGTCTGTTTGGACTGCCTGGGCATCACATTGGGAAGAGGTTACTGACTAAATCAGACTGTAGGGGACTTCCCTTAGGGATAGTGCTTTGATAGCTTTAAGCTGGCCTGGGCAGACAGGCCTGCTTCCTCTCTGGTTCAATACAGCAGTGAGTTGCCAGATGTGGGAACCCTCAGCCAGCTCATCCTACCTGCTGTTAGAACCCTGGTAACCATACTTCATGGGCTAGGGGGCCACATATGGGGATGTAACATGCTTTAAACGTTTCCTATTTCCCATTTATATATTTTTAAATTCTTTTAGGTGTCAGAGATCAATCACCTACATCCAGAATATGTCAAAGTAAGTGAGTATTTTAAAGCTTCCATGAAAAATTTCAAGATTGAAAAGATAAAGAAGATCCAGAACCCAGAGCTCCTGGATTGTTTTACACGGTTGGTGGCCACGTTATTATGTTTCTTTACATAAAACTGGAAAGGATTAGTTAATATCCATCCTTTAAGATTTATATTCACTGATTTATTTTAGTAGTCAACAGTTCCTTCAGGCTCTAGTTGTTTTTTTCATTGTATCAACTCTGGCTTCTCTCTTTCAGCCTCACTGATTTCATGTGTCTGTCTTTTAAAAGTTTTCATAAGTTTATTATTGTACAGCTTCTGCCTTATGTTAGTAGCTCCATTGTGAAAGCTGATGGGATGAAATTTTCAGATGATTAGATTTTAGCTGGGATTCATGTTATGAACTGGAGTGAGAAGGGGATGTCTCGGTGTTAACTCTCACATTTCTTAAATTAGGAAGAAGTTGCAGATGAAGGTAGAAGAAAACCTCCTATTTTATGCGACAAAACGTGCCTATGTGGACTCTATCTGTGCGAATAATTTTGACTGGACCCTACATGAAACTCATGCAACCACATATGGAAAAGGTTTGTGCCGGGATAGAAAAGTGTAACTGGTAGAGTTATAACTTGGGCTTTATATGCGCTTCTATGAGGAGGTATATGTAATTATTTTGTATTAACCAGAGTGTCCAGGCTTTAGTGGTCATGGAGAGAAAATAAGCTTGTGGTAATCTCAAATGCTCAAATGAGAGTGGCTCCATTGACTTGGAGCATGAGTGCTGGAACTTAGTCTCACTCCTGACTTCTGTTTTCATTCTGGGAGTGACCAAAGTCCTTGTACATGCTCGTCAGTTACTCCATCTGTTGGCCTTGTTGTCTCCCATCACTACTCACTTCTGGCCGTGCTCTTCCTGAACACATGTCCATGCCTCTGAAGCTATTTGAAGCTTCAATTGTCACAAAGTGATTTTAATTAAAGACGAGGAGAAGAGGATTCTCCCCATCTCAGGCCACACTGGGTTACCTGGACCTGTAGTGTCATAGGTCTGCCCCACACACAAAATCTTTATAGCTCTTTCTTTTTACTCCTAAACTCTTGCCTGCAATTTTTTTTTTTTTTTGAGACAGTGTCTTACTTTGTCACCCAGGTTGGGTGACAATCTCAGCTCACTGCAGCTTCCACCTCCTGGGCTCAAGTGATCCTCCCACCTCAGTCCCCCAAACAGCTGGGACAGCAGGTGTGTGCCACCACATCCAGCTAATTTTTTTTTTTTTTGTATTTTTGTAAAGACAGGGTTTCACCATGTTGCCAAGGCTGGTCTCATCTCCTGAGCTCAAGCAATCCACCTACCTCACCTCCCAAAGTGCTGGGATTCCAGGCATGAGCCACCACTCCTGCATGCATGCAACTGTTAAAACCAAACAAACCTAAAAATTACTTATCTTTAGGAAATAAGTAATAGGTTATCACAGATTCAAAGTGAGTTCAACTCATACAACTAGGATTAAATTCAATTCTTGCCCCAAAAGTCAAGAAGTCAGTCAGCAAATATTTTTGTGTCTTCTGTACACTAGATGTGGGGTACACAGTGGTGAACAAGTTAGACATTGCCCCATAGAAATTATTTTGCATAATTATCTTACATAATTAATTAAATGATTATGGCCAGGCATGGCAGCTTACACCTATAATTCCAGTACTTTGAGAGGCTGAGGTGGGAGGATCACTTGAGCCCAGGAGTTGGAGACCAGCTTAGGCAACATGGTGAGACCCTGTCTAATTTTTTGTTTTAATGACAAAAAAAATTTTTTTTGTAATTAAATTACCTGGGCATGGTGGCACATGCCTGTAGTCCCAGCTACTCAGGGGGCTCAGGTGGGAGGATTGCTAGAGGAGGATTGCAGAGGTTTGAGGCTGCAGTGATCCCTGATTGTGCCACTGCACTCCAGCCTAAGCAATATAGCAAGACTTTGTTTCAAAAAAAAAAAAAAAAAAAATTAAATGATTGCAAATGTCAGACTACTATAGAGGAAAAGAACAGGTCCAGGCTGGGCACAGTGGCTCACACCTGTAATCCTGCCCTTTGGGAGGCTGAGGCAGGTAAATCACTTGAGGTCAGGAGGTCAAGACCAGCCTGGCCAACATGGTGAAACCCCATCTGTACTAAAAATATAAAAAATTAGCCAGGCGTGGGGGCTGCTGCCTGTAATCCCAGCTATTCGGGAGTCTGAGGCAGGAGAATCGCTTGAACCCAGGAGCAGAGGTTGCAGTGAGCTGAGCTCGCACCACTGCACTCCAGCTTGGTCAACAGAGAGAGATTCTGTAGCAAAAAAAGAAAAAAGAGTCCAGACCAAAAATTAGGGTGGCTTTGACCCAGGTGGTGGAGGAGAAAGGAGGAAAAGGATATTGCAGTTCAAGGGATCTATTCCCTAAGAGGCATATGTGCAACAAGACAGAGTCCAGGTCTTAGGAGAGTGGGCTACAAGGTTGAGTCTTCAGGTTGGATCATTTAAGAAAATACAGGCTGGGCACGGTGGCTCACGCCTGTAATCCCAGTGCTTTGGGAGGCCAAGGTGGGTGGATTGCTTGAGGCCAGGAGTTCAAGACCATCCTGGCCAACATGGAGAAGCCCTGTCTCTACTAAAATTACAAAAATTAGCCACGTGTGTAGGCACATGCCTATAGTCCCAGCTACTCGGGAGGCTGAGGCATGAGAATTGCTTGAACCTGAGAGGGGGAGGCTACAGTGAGCTGAGATCCTGTCACTGCGCTCCAGCCTCAGTGATAGAGCAAGACTCTGTCTCAAAAAAGGAAAAAAGAAAGCACTCAGAAATGTAGGAGTAGAAATTAACTTTCTTAACACAATAAAGGGAATTTTAAAAAAGAAAATATAGATTCCAGATTATATAAGTGTGATATAAAAACAACTGATGCTTGGCAACAAAAACAAAAATGGACAAATGAGATTGCGTCAAAGTAAAACGCTTCTCCACAACAAAGGAAACAACGAACAACGTGAGCGGACAAACACACAGAGTGGAGAAAACATTTGCAAGCCATACATCTGATAAGGAGTTAATATCCAAAATATATAAGGAACTCAAACAATTCAACAGCAAGAGTACAAATAACCTGATTTAAAAATGAGCAAGCTGTTCCCATAAGTGGCCTGAGGTGATCTGTGGAAATGGTTTGCTATTCACTTGACCCAGAAATCTACACGAAATCATGCAAATAAAGAAGTTCAAATCTTCATGCTCACTTTAAGAATACCCATGAAACTGCCCAGGCCATCAAGGGTATGCATATATGAAAAGCCAGCAAGTGTCTGAAAGCTGTCACTGTATAGAAACAATGTGTACCATTCCAACCTTATGAGGATGGAGTTGGTAGGAGTGTCTAGGCCATACAGAAGGGCTGGGCACATGTTTGGTGACAAAGAGTTGAATTTTTGCTATACACACTTAAAAATGCAGAGTGTAATGCTGAACTTAAGAGTTGAGCTGTAGATTCTCTGGTCATTGAGCATATTCAGGTGAACAAAGCACCCAAGACGTGCCACCAGACTCACAGAGCTCATGGTTGGATTAACTCCTGCGTGAGCTCCCCCTGCCACGCAGAGACGGTCTTCACTGAAAAAGAACACAGTGTCCTAATCCACAAGAGGAGGTACCCAGAAGAGAAAGATATCCCAGAAGAAACTGAAGAAGCAAAAACTTACGGCACAGGAATCAATTTAGCGTAAAATACATGCAAGTAGGAGTTTCAAAAATGGGCAAAAGACCTGAAGAGACATTTCTCAAAAGAAATACAAATGGCCAATGAGTTCCTGAAAAAATGGTCAACATCACTAATCATCGGGGAATTGCAAATTATGCAAATTAAAAATGAGCCCAGGAGGTCCAAGGCTGCTGTGAGCCAAGATTGAACCACTGCACTCCAGCTGGGATTACAAGCATGAGCCACCACGCCTATAAACATGTTTTCAAGTGCAAAGGAAAGTTGATAAGTATCAGTAAGGTATTATTGGTATATGCTTAATACAAGCCCATTTGATCATGTATAACTAATCTTATAAACAATATACCTTCTTTTATCATCACTCTTAACCTTTTTTTCTGATTCCTTCTAGGAAGTTACTTTGCAAAAGATGCCATCTATTCCCACAAAAATTGCCCATATGATGCCAAAAACATCGTTATGTTTGTAGCCCGGGTCCTGGTTGGAAATTTTACTGAAGGAAATATGACGTACACGAGCCCTCCTCCCCTGTTCAACAGCTGTGTGGATACTAGGTTGAATCCCTCCGTTTTTGTCATCTTTCACAAAGATCAGATTTACCCACAATATGTGATTGAATATACTGAAACAGACAAACCCTGCGTGATTAGTTAGAACCGATGAATACAGCGTCAGAAGGATGCCATAACTATTCTGTTCCCTTGCAGAATAAATTGCCCCAGAAAGTAAAGTTTTATATTTTAATGTCTTCGATCAGTGGTCCCCAAACTTTGCTACACATTTGAATCATCTGGAAAGTTTTAAACAAATTCTGATGCTCAGGTTGCACCCCATGCCAATTAAATCATTTCTAGGCGTGAATGCCAGCCAGGCAGTTGTATTTTTTAAAGCCCTTCTGATGATTCTGATGTGTTGGAAAGTTTACCTTGTCTCACGTGTAACTGGCAAAGCTGATTTGAAAATTTTCTGTAATTGCAGCAACCTTTCTCTCCTGTCTACTCTTTTAGTTTACCGTATGCCATGGTTTTGTTTTGGCTATATTGAAAGAAAATTAATTTGGGAAATTTGGGAGAAATCTAATCATGCCTGTTGAAATAAGGATTTAAGACATTACAGCCTTAGAAGAACGATTGTGAAAAGCTGGGGAGAAAATGCTTAAGGACATGCTAGGAAAAAAGGAAAAATGGAAATGCTGTGGCAGACATAGCTGCCGTACTGTACCTTATCATTCTGATGAAACTGATTTGGAGCACCCATTTCTTTATCGCTACATTTATTTAGGGGACAAACTCCATCCAGGTTGACTGTCTCTGGAATGTGGTAATAAGAGCTGCCACGTATGGCTCAGAGAGAAGCAACCAATTGGAGTTAATTGCCCATTTGGGCTCTTTGTATAATGATAGCAAAGTAGACATTTATGTTCTAATTAATGTGATTATAGAGAAGGCTTTTTCTCAGGTCAGGCTTTTCATGAAAGTATTTTGAGAACAATGAATTGCAATAACCAGCTTCACACAAGCATGACTGATAAATGCGAGTGCTATTGTAGTCTTGGCAAACAAGCCAAGAACCTAGGAGCCAAGAACCTAGGAGCAGGGCCATTCCTACCATTCCTACCGAAGGGCTGGCCCCCTACGGAGACGAAATTTGTTTCCTGGTGAGCACAGAATCAGAACAAAGAACAGTATCCCAAAGAGGCCCTGTGCCTACCAGGAGCTTCTTTTTCTAAATATAATGGATTAGGTGGAATTGTAGTACCATCGGTTTTTATTTAGAGCAGGTGGAGTGCTTGGACCAATATTTCCTTCTTTCTTATGAACCAGGGTTTTCCTTCCAATTTTCTCTTTTCAACATTCCTTACCAGTCATCAAAGTTTCCTGTTATAATTTCTTCTAGCAGACATGTTAAAGTCAGATTTAATTAGCATCAGAATTGATTTTATATTAGTCAGATTTTGGATCATCACAGAGATCTCCACAACTCTTTGTCTTAAACGACTCCACCAGTAAAAAGTATAGAGATTTTTTTTTAGAGTAATTTTGTGGGAGGGGGACCACAAATGCTTATTCTCATTCACTCATGTTTTTTCATGGTAGCTTTCATTTTGGAGTGTTCATTTTCTGAACTTGATCCTCATATTGTAGGGGTGCAGTGTGTCCAACTCTTTCCAACAGCCCATTAGACACCACTAGCTGGATATTTCACAGGCATCTTTGATTCAACATGTCCACAGCGGAACTCTCCATCCTCCTCCCTCACAAGAATCTGTTTCTCTCCCGGCTTCTGTATGTAAGTGAACAGTATCACCATCTACCGATTGACTCAAGCAGAAATCCAGAAGTCATCTTTGACTCTTTGCTCTCCCTCCTGATAAATGTCTAAGCAGTTTCTAAGTCTAGTTTTACCTCTTACCTATCTCTGTTCCCTTCTAAGTTGTTTGATGTGTTTTCTTCACAGCAAGAGGCTTTTCTTTTTAAAAATGTACTTAGTAATGCATATTCAAAGCACAAATCCCATCAAGTCTTCAGGATAAAGTTCAAAACCACTATCATAGCCCCACGTGACCTCTCCCTCCCCTCCCCTCTGTGATTTAGTTTCTTCTGCACAAGCCACTCTGGCTTTCTTTCAGTTTTGTGGTTCACATTTTCAGCTAGTTCAGTGGTTCTCATTGAGCACTTCTGCCTTTTTTTTTTTGACAAATACAAATGCATCTTCTCTATTATCCTCAAAATCTAATTCAGAGGTGATATGCTCCACCTACACACAATTTTAGAAATAAATTAAGAATTAAGTAAAACTAATATTGACATAAAAAGGAAATAAAGGATACCTAACTTGGGAACAACTATAATTGAAGACCTAATGAAGTAGTCAGATGCTTACAACTATTTATAATCAATCAATTTGAACTTAGAAGGTAGGAAATCAGACTATCTGTGGAAAAATGCAAATGAAGAGATACGAGTGGACATTACAGTAAAAACTAGTGATACAATAACTTCTTTGCATATGACCATACTTATTTGTATATGATAAGAGAAAGAACGAATTAACCTTAATTGAAATAAAGATACTATGCAAGAAAATGTACAGATTGTCGACGTGGAGAAAATGAGGATATATTCTTACAGACGAGCTATAGATCATACATGAATGTCTGCTGAGACATTCAAAATTCGTATAGGGTGCAGAATAATTTCTTATTGTGAGGAACTGTCCAATGTATTGCAAGATGTTCTTCGTACTTGGCTCTCACAAACTAAATGCTAGTAGCGCCCCACCCCCATGCCCAGTCATGGTGACAACCACGAACCCCATCGGATCCCTTCACCCTTTTCAGAGCAGATACTTTGTAACATCCTCTTTCCTGTCCTGAAATGACTCATAGATAATAAAATCCACTTACACACATGAATTTCTTAAAAAATCAATTTAATGCCCTAACTCTCTTACAAAGGAGAAATAGAAATTTGGAATGAAAAGAAGATGAATTTTAAATGCTCAGGCATGACTATGCTGTATGAAAAAGATGTTTACTCTTCATTTTAATGAGTAGGTTTGGATTTAAGAACCATTAGAGGCTATTTCCTGTAAACAAGTACAGGAAAATGAAACTAGAGGTATGGGGGACAGTAGAATGAAAACCAGTGTTAGGGTAAGTCAAAACAGACCATATACATAATCTGTATATGGGAAAAAAAGCGAAATTACCTTGTTTAAGGATAATAGGACAAGACAAATTACAGGTTGTCTCAGAGAAAACAAACGAGTTACTCTCTCAGACAAGCTGTAGGTCCTACATACATGTCCAGCAGGACATTAGACAGTCGTACAGGGTACAGAATAATTCCTCGTTGTGTGACATAACCCACACACTGCAGGACGTCTGTCAGCCCTGGCTGCACCCACTCAGTGCCGGTAGTAGTCCTCAATTATTGTGAAACCACCAACAACCCATTGACCACAGTGAGAACCACTGATTCTTTTCCAGTGACTTAGTGAACATCTGGCATCCTTAGATCGTCCCAGCTGTTATTTCCCTGAAGAGTCCTTCTATAGAATAGGTCAGTTCCTTGCCTTCCAAATTCCTTATTTTTAAAATACTTTGCGCCTTGCTTTGTTAATTTGTATTATGTATCCAAACTGAAATTATCTGCTTTCTGCATTAGAATGTAAGCCCCTGAGGGCTGGGTCAGTCTTGTTTGCTGTGCTATGCCTAATGCCCAGCCAAGCGGGGTGCTTTGTACACTGATATACTGGATAAATTTTGTTGAATAAATTAAGCTCAACTATTTATATTTCAATAGTTGAGTTGTATTGCTTCTGGTTCTTCAAGCTTAATTTGAACTATCTAATAAAAATAAGTAATTAATTTGGTCTACTGCCTTTATTTGATCTATTTCTAGGTATCTCCAAAAAGATCATCAACTTTTTGATGATTCCAGTTATTCAGTGGAGGAGAGATGATGTGTTTTGCCCCTTCCAGCTTCATCATTCCAGGGTTCAATAAGCAAGTCGCCTGGGCAAGGCACAGTGGTGGTGATGGTCCCACATCTTTTGTCTGGGGGCTTAGAGAAGGGCTAAAAGCTGCTAACACACCTTTCTTCCTTTGGCTTCAGGGGTGTGAACAGGGCCAGGCTGAGGCACAAAAGTTTAAAATATAAATGGTGATCAGCAGAATTACCCTATCAGCCATTCTTCCTTCAAAAGCCCTTCTCTACTATTTATTTATTTATTATTTATTATTTTTATTTTTGAGACAGTCTCACTCTGTTGCCCAGGAAGGAGTGCAGTGGCACAATCTCAGCTCACTGCAATCTCCACCTCCTGGGTTCAAGCGATTCCCCTGCCTCAGCCTCTCAAGGAGCTGGGATTACAGGCACAAGCCATTACACCCGGTTAATTTTTGTATTGTTAGTAGAGACAGGGTTTCACCATGTTGGCCGGGCTGGTCTTGAACTCCTGACCTCAGGTGATCTGCCTGGCTCAGCCTCCCAAAGTGCTGGGATTACAGGGGTGAACCACCACACCCAGCCTCATTATCTTTTTTAATCACAAAGCTTTCAGTGAAGAGGAAGCAAGGGAAAGAGTGAGGGAAATAGATAAGAAGAGCAAGTTCTATGGCAACAGAGATTTGATAAAGCGACATTTGACTTAGACCTCAATATAAATTAAAGCAAGGCATGGCAAAGGCATTGCTGTCAAAGCACCCGGATTTAAACACACAAAAATGCTATCAAACCAAGCATGAGCAGACTTGGAGTTTAAAAATTTTTTTATGTGTTTATTTACTTTGTCAGAATGCTCCCAAGAAAAGCTATTATCTAGTTTTTGGTGGACTCAGTTCAGCATTTGGTAGAAATGAAGTTATGGCCAGGGACAGTGGCTCATGCCGGTAAACCCAGCACTTTGGGAGGCTGAGGTGGGCGGATCACCTGAGGTCAGGAGTTCGAGACCAGCCTGGCCAACATGGTGAAACCCTGTCTCTACTAAAAATACAAAAATTAGCTGGGGATGGTGGCCAGCACCTGTAATCCCAGCTACTCAGGAGGTTGAGGCAGAATCATCACTTGAACCTGGGAGGTGGAGATTGCAATAAGTCAAGAAAGTGCCACTGCACCCCAGCCTGGGTGACAAAGTGAGACTGTCTCAAGAAAAAAAAAAAAACAAGGAAAAAAGAAGCTAAATAGCAAACACTTCCTACTGCAAAGAGAACTGCCATTAAAGGCAATACTTGGTTGAGTGCTAAGTGTGTGTGGCTGGGCCACTGGGCCGTGTTCCGGGACGTGTCTTGGAAAGAGTGCAGGGGATAACAGGCAGGTTTCATTTAGAAATGTTAAGACCAGAGTGGATGATTTATAGCAGTGATATCAATGCATGTCCCCGGAGTGAATTGGTTCTACTGCCTTTATTTGATCTGATGCTACAGATGTGTGCCTGAGCAATCATCAGCTTGAGAATCAGCTTCAGAATCAGAGTGGGAGGAGACATCAAAACTTTCCATGATGTGCTTAAGTCTTAAAAGCTCCAATCTGAAAATACTACCTCCAATCTCAACCTTCTGTTTCTCTTTTCCATTCCCCTGTGAACCTGCCTGGCATCTGATGTCACCCTCTTCTCCCTGAAAACACCACATTCTTCAATAACAGTCTGCTTTGGGATCTTTCCTTTTTACCCCTCTACGCACTTCCCCATGAATGGTCTTATTTATTCCCAGACTTCAGGTGTCACACGCTCTGACTCCAGGATCTATACCTCTGCTGAGGAGTCAACCTGTGCATGGTGTCACAGCTACTGAGTAACAGAACCAAGATTCTAAACCCGGAAGTTCTGCAGAGCCTGCAGGTTAAGTGCATATGGAACAGTCTCTGCCTCTCACCTCCCCACCCTTCCCTCATTAACTCCTGCATTTACTCCTGGAGTCTTCTCCACACTCTGGCTCAGAGTCTTCCTCTCCACTCAAAATCCTCCCTTTTCCTTCAGTGTTCACTGTGGTCAACCCATGCAACACCCCTAGCCTTAGATGTCATTAAGGCCTGTCTTCCCTGTCTTCACTATTCGGAGAATCAACATCCATCACCCCACTGTCATCAGTCAGAATTACTCTAGAACTGATCTTTTTATTTTTTTATTTTTTTGAGATGGAGTCTCACTCTGTCACCCAGGCTGGACTGCAACCTCCGGGTTCAAGCGATTCTCCTGTTCTGCTGCCCGGGTTCAAGCAATTCTCCTGTCTCAGCCTCCTGAGTAGCTGGAATTACAGGCACCCGACACCATATCCAGCTAATTTTTAGTAGAGATGGGGTTTCAACATGTTGGCCAGGCTGATCTGAAACTCCTGACCTCAGTTGAAGTTGATCCTCTTGCCTCGACTTCCCAAAGTGCTGGGATTGCAGGCATGAGCCACTGTGTCTGGCCTAGAACTGATCTTTCTGAAATCCCAAACCTCTATATTCTACCTCTGCCCCCAGCCTGCTTTTTAGCTCACTCTCTCTACTATGTTCTGTACATCATCTTTCTCTGCTCACATACAGCCCCTTGCTGTCTTCACTCCTCCCTTACCTAGCCGCCGGCCCATTGTTCAGCCCCTGACCACTCTTTCCTTTCTTTCCTTTTTTCCTTTCTTCCTTCTTCCCTCCTTCCCTCCCTCTCTCTCTCTTCCTTCCTTCCTTCTTCCCTCCCTTCCCTCCTTCCTCTCTTTCTTCCTTCTCTTCTTTTTTTGAGACAGGGTCTCACTCTGTCTCCCAGGCTGGAGTACAGTGGCACAATGTCAGCTCACTGCAGCTTCTGCCTGCCAGGTTCAAGTGATTCTCCCACCTCAGCCTCCTGAGTTGCTGGGACTATAGATATGTGCCACCATGCCTGGCTAATTTTTGTAATTTTGGGTAGAGACAGGGTTTCACCAGGTTACCAAGGCTGGTCTTGAACCCCGGACCTCATGATCCACCTGCCTCAGCCTCCCGAAGTGGTGGGATTACAGGCATGAGCCACTGCACCTGGCCCCCGACCACTCTTTCAATTCATACTTTCAATCACCCAGAACCTTGGACCTTTAAGTTTCATCCACTGACAAAACCTAGCGTGGATCAATTAAATTCTGTTCTTACACCTTGAGAGGTTTTTTTGTTGTTGTCGTTGTGAGACAGAGTCTTGTTCTGTCACCAGGCTGGAGTGCATGGCGTGATCTCGGCTCACTGCAGCCTCCACCTCTGGGGTTCAAGCAATTCTTCTGCCTCAGCCTCCCGAGTAGCTGGGACAGGTGGGTGCCACCACACCCAGCCAATTTTTGCATTTTTAGTAGAGATGGGGTTTCACTGTGTTAGCCAGGATGGTCTTGATCTCCTGACCTCACGATCCACTTGCCTTGGCCTCCTCAAGTGCTGAGATTACAGGTGTGAGCCACTGTGTCAGGCCCAGACAGCTTTTAGGAGAACTGCAGCATTGTTTGGATCAATGCCACTACCAATCTGTGGCCTTGGCAAGGCCCTCCCCACCGGTCCTACCTGTCAGCCTTCTCCCCAAGTCAGATTCATCAAGGCTTTTGGTCTCCTCAAGTGACTCTCCACCACCCATTCTTGGTCTTGCCTTAAACTTAAAAAGACAAAACAAAACAAAGCTTACAAACTTATCTTTAGATGTTCTAGATCCATGCTGATCACCTCCTTGAAACTCCTCTATGTGTCCATGAATGACTCTTATTTTCCTCTGTGTTAGGCTATGTTCCCTCAGGAGCAATCAGACAAGGATCGAATGCAAGCACTTTACTTGGGAGGTGATCCTAAGAAACACTGGCAGGGGAATGGGGAGGTGGGACAGGGAGAGGAAGGAAGACTGTATAGGGAGTGCTGATGAGGAGGTGTGGCTGTGGACAACGGGGGCTCAGGTCCACTGAGGAAACCCCGGAGACCATGGAATGTACACCTCCAAGTGGTTCCACATGAGGAATAATGAGTTGGGTTGTTTGATCCATTACTGGGGAGGAACAACTTTCCTGCATCCTCTTCTTTTTTTTTTAGTCAGAGATCTTTTATTTTTTTTAATACCTATTATGCCATGAATTCATAGGGAAGAGATTCTGGCAGCTCAGGCTCCTTCCCATTGGCTCTCACACAGTGCGCTTCTCTGGGTGGAGCAGGCTGGCGCTTCGGTTGAACCCAGGTAACTTTCTCTTTGACTTCCTTCTTTTTCTGATCATTTTCCTTCACACGTTTCAGGAAGCTGTAGAGTGCTTGATGTGCTCAATACGCACATTAATTCTCTTGGCAAGAACCTTGCCCTTAACTTGTTTGTTTACAACAATGCCAACAGCATGCTGGGTAACATTGTAGACTCTTCCAGTTTTTCCATGATAACACCTGTGGGGCATTCCTTTGTGAACAGTACCCATTCCCTTGATGTCTACAATATCACCTTTCTTATAGATTCGCATATATGTGGCCAAAGGAACAACTCCATGTTTTCTAAAAGGCCCAGAGAATATGTATCGAGTGCCTCTCCTCTTTCCCTTTGTGTTCGTCATTTTGACAAATGACTGGAAGATGGCGGTTCCAGCCGAAAGGCCCTGCACCCTCTCAAGTTCAGTTCTGAGGGGCTGCAAATTTAACTGACAAGAGAAAAATATATATGTAAATGGGAGTGCACAAAAGAAGTGATGATGATTTATATGCCTAAATTAATAGATGAGAGAGGGGGCCAAAAGGCTCCTATGGGAAGAACAAAGGGGTTTCTAGGGGAACAAATAGGAGAAAAGGAAGTTTGTGATCATGTTTGTTTATGCAGGTGCATGTGGTCTTCTATTTCATGCCCATAAACTTCTGGAGAGGGGGTGAATGGCAGCCTCACTCCCAGAAGCTTCTGCTTATACTGAAATAAAGGTAGCTTCAAGAACCCTTCTTTTTGCCTCTATTGAATCTTCAATGTCTGTAGTTTAAAATAATCTTCATACCAACTTTAGGGGTCAGAGTGCATCCTCAGACCACCAATTCCCCAACATTCCTGGTTGAGGGCTCTTCCTGGAGGCATTGGCTCCTCGGTAATTCCAGCCTACCTTTCCTGCTGGTGCTTGCTCCTTCTGTTGGAAAAAAAGTGTGGGAAGTAGAAAAGTTCCTTGTTAAAGTTTCCTTTCTTGTTAAATCATAACTGTGCTAATAACTCTTTGTTAAGCCCTGTCCTATGTAGCTGTTAGACATGCCGTGCTTCCAGGCATGTAGACATTCTATGTCCTTGTACCTTAACCAAGATATCTGTGCTGGATGTGCTCGCAGGCCATGTCCCAGCTCTCTATTGCTTTTACCTGTTTAGAAAAGCTTTAAGTTGTTAGCCAATCGTGTTTTAGTTTAGATTGTGAGGTCTGGCTCCAGCCAATGGAGATCAGATATAGCAGTAAGGACAACCCCAAATGCATAAGGAATAAGGCATAAATTTGTGTGTATTCCCTTTGTTCTTTGTACTCTCGTGGCAAGACGGCTACTGAGACCCTTTCTGCAGTCCAGGAAGTAAAAACGGCGTTGCTGAAGGATCCTTTGTCTCAGTGCTAATCTTTCTTTGTGGCACTGAGCGTCCATTTCCAACAAAGAGCTTAGGCAGAGAGTTCAGGAACAGTTGTTAAGTGCCAAGGGGACATAGGCTACTGCCTATTTTTCTCTTCTTCCACCTGCTTATTTAATGTGGATATTCACCAAGGTTCTCTCCCCCCACCTCTGCCTTTTCACATTCTTCATTTTTGCCAAGTGATCTTATCAACTCTAACAGCTTCTGTTCTTAATGTTCTGATGCCATGCAAATCTACACCCCTTCCCTTCTCAGGTTCCTCAAGGTCTAGCCCTGTACACAGAATACACCTGCCTGTTGAGCATCTTTCCTTGGGGTGACCACTGCAAACTCAACATAAACAACATCGGGGTTGTAGTTCCCCAAATCCTGTTTATTTCTGTTTTTCCCCACCTTGTCTTGCTTTTCTAGAAATCCATTCTTCTCATTGCTGCCAGGTGTCTTTCTAAAACGCCTGTCCTACAACATGGCCAGGCACTATTTTAGGTGGTGAGGATGCAGCAATGAACAAAACAAGGCTCCTGCTTTCATGAGCCTGAACTCTACAGCTATATATGTAAATAAACAATACAGAAGAAAAGCATCAGCAGTAAGTTCCATGCAGACTGGGGAGCTACTTTAGATTTGAGAGGTCAGCAGAGGTTTTGCGGAAGAGAAGACATTAAAGCTCACAGCTGAATGACACACCTTGAGTGGGTCACCTTGAGTATGTCATTCAGGAGACAACCACACTTGCCAGATGAAAATCTTTTAGTGATTTCCCAAAGTTCTCAGAATATAAGTCCAAATTTCACAGCATGGTAGAGAAAGTCTTCTGGCATCTGGCCAATTGTCTTCCTCTCCGGCTTCTTTACATTATATGACATTAATGCATTTAATCCTCACAAGCACCTTGTAAAATAGCAGCTAGGCTGGCTGGATTCTCTGATTCATCTTTTTACTGTTACTGGGATAGTAGTTGGCTCAATCAATGTTCATTAAACAAGCAAGGTGCTGGACAAAACACATGGCTGCTTAAGGCAGGTCTAGACTGGCGCTGCTCCACAAAAATAAGGTACTCTGCATTTGTAATTTAAAATGTCCTCATAGCTGCATTAGTCTAGAAGCAACACATGAAGTTGTCGTAACATTTTATTTAACCAAATATATCCAAAATATTATCAGTTTGACCTGTGATTTATATAAAGTTAATGAGATATTTTACATTCTTTTTTCATTCTCAGCCCTCAAAATCTAGTGTATTTCACACTTATATCACATCTCAATTCAGACTAGCCACCTTCCAAAAGAGCTTAGCAAGGCCCCTTGGGGTGGCTCACGCCTGTAATTCCAGTGCTCTGAGAGGCGGAGGCAGGTGGATCGCTTGAGGAGTTCAAGACCAGCCTGGGCAACATGGGGAGACCCTGTTTCTGCAAAACAAAACAAACAAACAAAAATCAGTCCCAGCTACTCAGGAGGCTGAGGTGGGAGGATGGCTCGAGCCTACGAGTTACAGGCTACAGCGAACTTCGATAGCGCCACTGCACTCCGGCCTGGGCGATAAAGCGAGACCTTGTCTCCGAAAACAAAACAAAAAATAACATAAAATACAACAACAACAACAACAATCCCCAAAGTGCTCAGCAGCCACATGTGGCTAGTGGCCACCTCCCCTGAAGCAGCCCGGCCACTCACCTCCTACCACCTTTTACCCATTTTGCCTTCTCCGCAGGCCTCCCTAGCACTACTAGTTGTCTTACTTGTTGGCGAGTCCTTTGTGACTCCCACTGTACAAGCCCCTCAAGGCCAGGCCTAGCCCTGAACAGTGCCAGGGCAGATCAGACGCTCTATCAACCCGGTCCTCGTCTGAGTCCGCGTCCAGGGGATCCGCAGGCGCCACACCCTACTTCCATTCGCCCGGGCCGCCCCTCGCACGGCCTCCCGCAGGCCCACCCCCCGCCAGGCCCAGGCCCACCCCCTGCCAGGCCTAGGCCCACCCCCGGGATGTTCGCTGGAAATCGTGGACGTGACTGGGAGGAGCCTGCTTCGGGGCCGCGCGCACAGGGTCTGCGCCATCGACCATGGCGGAGCCCACGGTGTGCTCCTTTCTCACCAAGGTGCTGTGTGCCCACGGCGGCCGCATGTTCCTGCGGGACCTGCGCGGCCACGTGGAGCTGTCGGAGGCCAGGCTCCAGGACGTGCTGCAGCGCGCCGGGCCCGAGCGTTTCCTGCTGCAGGAGGTGGAGACGCAGGAGGGTCTCGGGGACCCGGAGGCCGAGGCGGCGGCCGGCGCGGTGGGCGGTGGCGGCGGCGCCTCCGCCTGGAGGGTTGTGGCCGTGTCCTCCGTGCGCCTCTGCGCGCGCTACCAGCGCGGCGAGTGCCAGGCCTGCGACCAGCTGCACTTCTGCCGCCGGCACATGCTGGGCAAGTGCCCCAACCGAGACTGCTGGTGAGAAGGCGGCAGCGGCGGCCCGGGTGGGCGGGCGGGGACTGTGGGCGCAGGCCCCGGGCCTGGCCTTCCGGCCGGAAGCGCAGCGACTGGAAGGGGGCTTCGTCCCGAGCGGGGCCGGGGCCAGGGGCAAGGGACTGGAACACCCCCTCCCGCAGGCCCTTCCCTTGGCGGCCTCCCCTGCGCTCCCATCCGCGGGGCGGAAAGGCGCGAAGGTCCTCTCAGTGGAGACCTCTCAGCGGACCCCGCCAGAAAAGTTGCGGCCCCGCCCCCCGGATTCTGCGCGACGCAGCCGGGTTAAATCCTGACTGACTTTGGAGTTCGCTTACTCCGGTGATCTTTGGCGGGAGGTGGGGGACGGGGGGCATCCGAGGATCCCATGAGATCTTTAACCGGAAATCGCCCGTTCCCTGGTATCCACACACTTTTGCAGAAGCAGGTCTGCGCCCTCTAGGTTTAACAGCGCGGAGCCAGCCTCACCCCGGAAGCAGGGCTGGATGGCTTGGGTGAGGCCGTGTGGTTCCTGACTGCCAGAGCTGGGGTTCCCGGCCGCCTCCTGACTCCAGACTCTGCTTCACATCCCTGAATTTTCCTTGGTTGTACCCCTCCCCCCAAACCCCAAAGTGGTGCTGGGGAGAGGGACGCTTTCTTTTTCACGTTGGTGGACTGTGGGAGTGGGCACCTGTCGCTGGGGAGAAGGCCAAGTGCAGTGGCCTACAGAGCAGGTGCGCACCCTCGGGTGAGGTGGGCCACACGGGAGAGAGGTACCCTCGGCTTCAGAGCATCCCGACTGAAAATTCACATGACCTTGGGAGAAGAGTTGCTTCAACCCAACTTTCTTATTTTCTTTCCATCAGTGCTTATTAGGCCATACTCTCCATGGTTTCATGACAGTTACTCAGCTTCACATGTATTAAATAAATGGAAAGCTGCTCAAGGCAAGGAATTTGACAGACTGGTCCTTGTTCACCTGGGCATCTGACCGAGGTCTCTGTTCTCCTAGGTCTACCTGTACCCTTTCCCATGATATCCACACACCTGTCAACATGCAGGTCCTGAAAAACCATGGACTTTTTGGCCTAAATGAAGCCCAGCTTCGGATCCTGCTTTTGCAGAATGACCCCTGTCTTTTACCAGAGGTGAGTCACCAAAGAGTCACCCTCAGGTCACGTTTGTTACAAGTACTTTCCCCATTTTCTTTTGGCTTTAGATATTTTAATTGCTTTGAAGCAACACGATTCCGTTTCAAATGCATTAAAGGTACCCACTATAATTGCTATCGTGACAAAATAGTATGTGTCGGTTTAGCCATCCAGAAGTTTTAAAAACAAAATAGTACAAATCCCAAGAGTGATTTGGAACATCAGTGAAGACCACCAATTAAACGCAAGGTTTTCTAATCTAGCACAATGATGCTGTTATAGACACCTCCACTTTGCCAGAAGAGGAGTGGGAAGAAGGGAAGACGTTGAGAAAACAGAGGACAGTTCATGATTGTGGCCTGATTTTAACTCTAAGGCATTTCAGAGTCTAGAAGGGAAGAAAGCCACAAGGCTAGAGGGAAGAGCTGGAGCCTTTGGTGCAGGTGGCAGAGGCTGCCCTCAAGGCAGCAGAATGTGTACCAGAAGGCAGTCCTGGAGGTGATCTTTGGAATCAGTAGGTTTCCTCCTGACATGCATGATCTGTGTCATTTCTTTGAGCACTGAAGCCAAGTCTAGTACGTCATGATTGTGAGCCAGATGCATTCCAACCAACCATGTTGCCCAAAGTAGATCCAAGCAGTAGCTGGAGCAGGTTATTGACAGGAAGGGCGAGGAAGGTGGCCGCAGCTATGAGGCTGGGTCCAGCCCTTCCTCTCTCCGAGAGAAGGGGTGGTGCCGCTGCTATTTGCCTTTTAATTTTTTTTTTTTTGAGACAAGTAGTTTTGCTCTTGTCCAGCTGGAGTGCAATGGCACGATCTTGGCTCACCTCAATCTCTGCCTCCTGGGTTCAAGCAATTCTCCTACCTCAGCCTCCCTAGTAGCTGGGATTACAGGCATGTACCACCACGCCTGGCTAATTTTGTATTTTTAGTAGAGATGGGGTTTCTCCATGTTGGTCTGGCTGGTCTCGAACTTCTGACCTCAGGTGATCCGCCCTCCTCAGCCTCCCAAAGAGCTGAGATTATAGGAGTGACCCTGACGCCCAGCCTGCCTTTTAATTTTATAGTACTTTTTGATTCACAGAAGTTTAATATTTTTATTTTGTCAAATCTATCGAATCTTTTTTTGGTGTGCCCTTTTTTGGGGTGTATCCTGGGCCCAACCTTACCTTTTCATGTTAGACTCCTTCAGTGTTTTGTGAGCAGCTGATGGGTTGGCAGAACATACAACAGGAGCCTCCCCTCCCCCTCTCCCACCTGTCCTCATCACCTGGGACTGGAAGTAGGTGACATGTGGTACAAAAGGTGACTGTGTGGACAGCAGGGGCCATGGAAAAACACAGTGCATGAGGCAAGAATGGTGCCTCACATTTGTATGAACTGCCTGATGATTGCTTTTACCACTCTCAGTAAAAAAAGGCAGTAGACAAATATGTAAAGTTTCATGCTGGTGCATTAATGGAGAAATTTCTAGAAAAATGGAGCTTGTCAAAATGAATTCAAGAAGCAATGGAAAGCCAAAATAGTCTCTTAAAAAGTTTTAAAATAAAAGCATTAAACAAACCCCAAAGCATTAGTTAAAAGGCTTGCACAAGAAAACATCAGGCTTATATAGGTTTGTTTTGTTTTGTTTTGAGACAGGGTCTTCTCACTCTGTCACACAGGCTGGAGTACCTCAGCTCACTGTAGCCTCTGCCTCTTGGGTTCAAGTGATTTTCCCACCTCAGCCTCCTGAGTAGCTGGGACTACAGGCATGTACCACCATGCCCAGCTTGTAGAGACGGCGTTTTGCCGTGTTGGCCAGGCTGGTCTTAAACGCCCAATCTGAAGTGAACACCCTGCCTTGGCCTCCCAAAGTGTTGGGATTACAGGCACAAGCCACTGTGCCTAGCAAGGCTTATATAGCTTTATAGTTGAATTCTATCAAATATTTTCCTTATTGAAGTATAGCTGATAAACATTTTATATTTATAGTGTACAATGTGATTTTTTTTTTTTTTGAGACGAGTTTCGCTCTTGTTACCCAGGCTGGAGTGCAATGGCGCAATCTCGGCTCACCGCAACCTCTGCCTCCTGGGTTCAGGCAATTCTGCCTCAACCTCCTGAGGAGCTGCGATTACATGCACGCGCCTCCATGCCCAGCTAATTTTTTGTATTTTTAGTAGAGACGGGATTTCACCATGTTGACCAAAATGGTCTCAATCTCTTGACCTCGTGATCCACCCGCCTCGGCCTCCCAGAGTGCTGGGATTACAGGTTTGAGCCACCGCGCCCAGCCAATGTGATGTTTTAATGTATTTACATTGTGAATTGATTGCAACGATTTAGCTAATTAGCATATCATTGCATAGCTATTATTTTTTGGTGTGGTAAGGACAGCAATTTTCAGGTATACAGTAGGTTATTGTTAACTACAGTCATCATGCTGTACAGTAGATTTCCAGAAGTTTATCCTAAATGAAACTTTGCTCCCTACGACCTACATCTGCCCATTCTCCTGAATTCTAACAAATCTGTAAGGAATAGGCAGTTCTCATGTTTCGAGTAGGTCTGGGATCTATTCTCCATGATCTCCAATACATTCTTGAACCACTATCATACTAATTAGTTTATATTTCATTTTTAAAGTTTATGTATTAACTCTTTTACAGACGTAGTCTCGCTCTGTCGTCCAGGCTGGAGTGCAGAGACAGGGTTTCGCCATGTTGCCCAGGCTGGTCATGGCTCACTGCAACCTCGACCTCCTGGGCTCAAGCAGTCCTTGTGCTTCAGCCTCTCGAGTAGCTGGGACTACAGGTGTGCACCAGCACACCCAGCTACTTTTGTTTTGTTTTGTTTTGTTTTGTTTTTTGAGACAGAATCTTGCTCTGTCGCCTAGGCTGAAGTGCAGTGGTGTGATCTTGGCTCACTGCAACCTCCGCCTCCCTCCCTGGTTCAAGTGATTCTCCTGCCTCAGCCTCCCAAGTCGCTGAAATTGCAGGTGCTTGCTACCATACCCAGATAATTTTTGTATTTTGAATAGAGATGGGGTTTTGGCATTTTGGCCAAGCTGGTCTTGAACTCCTGACCTCAGGTGGTCTGCCCATCTCAGCCTTCCAAAGTGCTGGGGTAACAGGTGTGAACCACTGTGCCTGGCCCCCAGCTACTTTTTTTTTTTTTGTAGATAGAGTCTTGCTCTGTTGCCCAGACTGGAGTGTAGTGGTGTGATCTCAGCGCTCTACAACCTCCGCCTCCCAGGTTCAAGCAATTCTCATGCCTCAGCCTCCTGAGTAGCTGGGACTGAAGGCATGTGCCACCATGACCAGCTAATTTATTGTATTTTTAGTAGAGATGGGGTTTTGCCATGTTGCCCTCATCTCAAACTCCTGAGCTCAGGCAATCCGCCTGGCTTGGCCTCCCAAAGTGTTAGGATTATAGCTGTGAGCCACCATGCCTGGCCTACTTTAAAAATTGTTTTTGTGGAGACACGGTTTTGCTGTGTTGCCTAAGCTGGTTTCAAACTCCTGGACTCAAGCAGTTTGCCATCCTTGGTCTCCCAAAGGGCTAGGATTATAGCCATGAGCCACTGTGCCTGGCTAATTTTGTTTGTTTCATCAATTCATGTTTCCTTTTCCAGATAAGCTTTAGAATCACTTAGTGTTATGCATAGCTAACCAACAACAACAACAAGAAAATAGAATCACTTAAATTCCTAAAACTATTTTACAGGAATTCTTTGAGGGGGGTAGAATTTGCATTAAAGTTATGAATTTATTTTAGAAAGTTGGCATCAAAATTATAAATAGGATGCTGTTTCATTTGAAACCAGGTCATCTGTGTCTTGTAGAATTTCCCGCATTTTAGATTTGACTGATTACATTCCTGTAGTACTATTTAACATGTTCCTGTATCCCTCAATTTTGATCTGATTTAGGATTTTATTATATATATATATTTATTTTATTATTATTATTATTATTTTTTTGAGACGGAGTTTCGCTCTTGCTACCCAGTCTGGAGTGCAATGGCTCGACTCACTGCAACCTCCGCCTCCTAGGTTCAGGCAATTCTCCTGCCTCAGCCTCCCGAGTAGCTGGGATTACAGGCATGCGCCACCATGCCCAGCTAATTTCTTGTATTTTTAGTAGAGACGGGGTTTCACCATGTTGACCAGGATGGTCTCAATCTCTTGACCTCGTGACCCGCCCACCTCGGCCTCCCAAAGTGCCGGGATTACAGGCTTGAGCCACCGCACCTGGCCTATTTATTTTATTTTTAAGATGGAGTCTCGCTGTATTGCCCAGGCTGGAGTGCAGTGGTGCAATCTTGGCTCACTGCAACCCCCACCTCCGGAGTTCAAGTGATTCTCCTGCCTCAGCCTCCCCAGTGGCAACAATTACGGATGTGTACCACCACTCCTGGCTAATTTTTGTATTTTTAGTAGAAACGGTGTTTCACCATATTGGCCAGGCTGCTCTTGAACTCCTGACCTCAGGTGATCCTCCTGCCTTGGCCTCTCAAAGTGCTGGGATTACAGGTGTGAGCCATCGTGCTCAGCCAGGATTTATTTTATACCAAAAATTTTTTGACTCACCATCCCATTTGCCTGGGACTGAGGGGTTTCTGAGATGTCAGACTTTCATGGTAAAAACTGGACAGTTCTATTTCCTGTTGTGTCACATCAGGAGGCATATAATGTCAATATAATGTCATCTTTGTATGTGAGGTTAAGACTGATGTGTGGTTTCAGGGTCAACAGCCATCATGATCCATCATTATGAAGTTCCCCATCAGTGTGGTCTTGGTGAGTCTAGGATAGACCTAGTTTATATTAGTTGTCCCAATGTGATTATTAATAGTGCTTCCTTGCACCCAAAAAAGCCCTTGCCTGGATCATATATCTTTGTGCCACCCCTTGAAATTAGTTTCCCTAGAAGCAGAGCCTAAGATAGGGACCGAGGTCCATGTGATTTTTTGTGGGGGGCTGGCTTTACAGGAAAATCCAGTATGGGAGTGAGAGAAGCAGGATCTGAGGAAGGAAAAGCTACAAGCAAGTAAGGTCTGGCCTTAACTTGATTCATGGGGAATTGTGGAATTAACATCACACTGAGTCTGGCTTTGAGGCTCTCCAGCATTTTTTTTTTTTTAGCTCCATCTAAGTCATTCATTGGCCACAGGCTTTGGAGGCAGGGGGCAGGTTAGTTGAGAGTGCAAGGTAAGAGAGGGGCAGCTGTGAGTCATGAGCAGCCAGCGCCTACAGCACCTGGAGTGTGGTTAGCACCATACACTGTCATCAGGCTTTCACCCAAAGATTTTAACAGCCACTGGTGATCAGAAGATGTCATTTAGTCTTCACTTTAGCTAGAGAAGCTATAGTCTATTGGCTTAAAAGAGTGAAAACTAATATTGGCCGGGTGTGGTGGCTTACACCTGTAATTCCCAGCACTTTGGTAGGCTGAGGTGGGCAGGTCATCTGAAGTCAGGTGTTCGAGACCAGCCTGGCCAACATTGCAAAACCTCATCTCTGCTAAAAATACAAAAATTAGCTGGGTGTGGTGGTGAACACCAGTAGTCCCAGCTACTCAAGAGGCTGAGGCAGGAGAATCGCCTGAACCCAGGAGCTGGAGGATGCAGTGAGCCAAGATTATGCCACTCCAGCCTGGGCGTCAGAGTGAGACTCCATCTCCCACGAACCCCCAACAGCAACAAAAAAGAAAACTAATATTTCAGATGTTGCCTCATTTCTGTACCAGGTCTGTTTGCTCTACAACAAAGGGGAAGCCCTTTATGGCTACTGCAACCTCAAGGATAAATGCAACAAGTTTCACGTGTGCAAATCCTTTGTCAAGGGAGAGTGTAAACTTCAGACCTGCAAACGGTCCCATCAGCTTATCCATGCCGCATCCTTGAAGCTGCTGCAGGACCAAGGATTGAATATTCCAAGTGTTGTGAATTTTCAGATAATATCCACCTACAAGCATATGAAGCTGCACAAGATGCTTGAAAATACAGGTAGGAATATCCAAAGAGGAAGGAGAACTATCAACGATAGAGTTTTGGGATGCTTCACTGTAAAGAAGTAAGAACAGTAACGTGAAAGTGAGTCTGGGGGTGAAGCAGTTCCTATGTTAATTTCAGCTTTAGTCTTGGGAAAGTTTATAACAGTCCACATTTTATGGTATAGAATAGTGACCCTAACCAAAGGAGGGAAGGGATGCAGTTTTTCTTTAGCACTGTGACCTCCAGCCACTAGGATCGGCCCGAGTCATTGAAGAGTAGCTTGTTGGTAAGTTGGAGGTCAGGAACAGTTTTAACAGCATGGTCAGGAAAAAGAGGAAGGAGATGTCTGGAAAAGTAAGATTAATGTAGGATGGCTTTCTTTTCATAAATACAATTTTTTGCTTTGTTAGTTTTATGGTTTTTTCTTTTTTTTTTTTGAGATGGAGTCTCGCCTGGTTGCCAGGCTGGAATGCAGTGGCATGATCTCAGCTCACTACAACCTCCATCTTCCAGTGCGCCCGGCCCACACACACTTTTTTAAAATCCAGAAGACATGAACTCTCCAAATCCAGGTGTTGGGAGTCTTGTCTGATGCCTGGTTAGCTGGGCTGTTGCTCCCAACCTAAAATGAAACTTGGGGGGTATCTAAGGAAAACTTATCCCTTTCCTCTTTGTAGGTGATTCATCATCATCTGCTGAGCGTTCACAAGGCCTTGAGAAGCAAGGAGTGCACACAGCTGGAGCTGCAGAAGCTGGTCCTCTGACTTCTGTCCCTGCTCAGTCAGCCAAGAAGCCCTGCCCAGGTAAACCTTAAAGGAGGTCAGCTTGTCCAACTTGGAAGATCAGAAAACAAGGCTTCTGTTTAGCTTTAATTTGTAACCATTCATTCCATTAATCGTTGATTGGTAATGGTCATAATAATACCTACCTCACCGTGTGTTGTGAGAAGTAAAAAAGATGGAAAAGGAGAAAATGTCCTTTTGGAAGGATACAGTCGGGCATGGGTGGTTGGGGATGGGGTTGGGCATTGAGCAGGCAAAGAGAGGCTAAAACTGAGTGCAGGTCGGGCCAGTCCAGGGCAAGTGCTGAAGATGGCAGCTTCTGCCTACGGTGCCCAGTGCTTTCCTCAGGCCGGGTGGGTGGAGCTCTGCTGACTTCTGTGATCCACCATTGTTTTTCTCATTTTATATTGTGGCAATCATAGAGTACTTTGCACACTTTTTTTTTTTAACTTAATATGGCTTCATAATTATCTTTCTATATTTGTTCATATCATACATAATCATATTTTTGCACAGATACATTAATATGTCATAGTTTAACTACTTTCCTTTTTCTAACAATTTTTTTTTAGATGGTCTTGCTCTGTTGCCCAGGCTGGAGTGCAGTGATGTGATCTCGGCTCACTGCAGCCTTGACTTCCTGGGCTCAGGTGATCCTCCCACCTCAGCCTCCTGAGTAGTTGGGACTACAGGTATGCACCACCATGACTGGCTAATTTTTTGTATTTTTTTTGTAGAGAGGGGATTTTGCCGCGTTGCCCAGGCTAGTCTTGAACTCCTGGGCTCAAGCGATCTGCCTGCCTCAGCCTCCCAGAGTGCCAGGATTACCGGTGTGAACCACTGCACCCAGCCTCTCTAACAAATTTTGAATATAACGCTTACCTTAAAATCTGCAGAATATTGAATTTTTCAAGCTCTTTTTTTACTTTTGCTTAGCTTATAGATGCTAAAGGATGCTGTCATTTGCATTTTTATACTATTTGTATGAGTGAATGGTTTTCTGGGGCCTGCTTTCTGATTGTTCTTATTTTGTCATTTTACATTTGGCTTTTATTAATGGGGCCCTCCTTTACACTGATGTGGGGCAGCCTTTAATGAAGCTCCGAAGTTTTCCTAAAAGGATGTCAGCAGTACTGTGCTTGGATGATACTCAATTTCTATAGGTCCATCCTCAGCCAGTACCACAGAGTATGTAACCTTTGTGTTCTCTCCAGAGACTTCTACCTCACTCTGTCTATTCTTCATCTCTTACTGAACTTTTACCAAAGCCCAGTTGCTACAGCTTGAAGGATGTGTGGTTCATCCATTCCTTAAATCGTATCCCTTCTTTCTGTGGATCAGGATGGACCATCAGAAGTCTGTATACCTCCCCCGCTTGATGATCACTTTCCCCTTTCTCCCTTCCTCCCTGCCCTCCACCTACCCAGCTGTGTTCATCGAGTTACATTTCAATATTCTGTGGTTTATTTTCATCAAGGGGTACCACAGGAAGCAGCTTTATGAAATTAAATTGGTTCTGTTTATTGTAGTTATTCCCAAATGTCATTGTGTAAAGTATCGTTGTTTTTTTTGAATTCAACCGTCCTACAGTAACATAACATTTGAGAAACAGAGACAATGTAATAAGTTTTCATAAAGCTAAATTAATGTAGAGAAGTTTTTGTCCTGAAATGCTATCTTTCAATTGGGGAAAAGCAAAAATGTCCTTTTTCAAGTGAGAAATTGCTCTGTTTTCTCCTAATGAATAGTAAGAGTCGTGAACTTGTGTTGACCTTTTTACTTTCATTGTCAGCAATATTTCTGAAAGCCCTTACATTCTACACATTTTGTTTTTTTCTCTAGTCCGGATTTCTCCTGGTGATAATTTTTTAAAATATATTTTTACATTTTATTATTACTACGATTTACACTTATCATTTTACTTTGTATATTTTTATAGTAAGCTATCTTAAATCCTTAATGGAAACAGTGTAGGGGACAAATGCATTTCCTTTACATTGAGAGACTTGGTGGCTTTTTACGTGTTTATGTTCTGTTTTTATATCTTATCATTATGCTTTTATATGTGAAGTTATTGGTCCTCTGTAATCTTCGTTGCAGTATTTTACTCAATTCTATGATAGTCGACTTTCATCTTCGTTTTGTTGTATTCATTCTGTAAAATGTTTTATGTAATCATGCCTGTCTTTCTCTAATTTCCATCTCATGATTCAGCTGTTACTGCGTTACAGTTGGAGAAGAGTTTTCTTTGGTGATTTTTTGGGTTTTTTGTAAAGTCGCCTGTCTATTGACTATAAATTCAGCGTAGTCTAAATTGAATTACAAATTTTCCACTAGTCTTGTTCCTCCTTTTATTTTCTTATTTTTGAATGTCACCACTATCTACCTAATGACATAGGCAAAAGCTGTAAATTGTCCTATACTTTTCTTTTTGTTCCCTACGTCAAACTGGTAACCCAGTGTTGGAGAGTTTCTCCCCCTCAAAAGCCTCTCAAATATTTATCCTTCTCTGCCCCTTTCTTTCCACCCCCTATACACGGCCTTGTTTCAAACCCTCATCACCTCCCTGCGTATATTCCACAGATGCATACCTCAGTAGTTTTCAAGTTATGTGTTATGGGAGTTTTGGAAAAAGGTGCTCTGTTCCCACTGCAGTGATGGTAGCCCTATTTCAGTGTTTAATCGAATAGGCTTTGTGGATTTCACTGGTCTCCTTACACTCTTTGCTTTTCCTGCCTTCCATCTGGCTGCCTGATGTTTTGAAAGCAAACTAAGCATACTGCTTTTTTCCTGCTGAAACTTTCCTTGGTCCTCAGCACGTAGGGTAGTAGTCATAAACTCACATGACTGCAGGGACTAGAAAGGTGAGTCAAATGGATGAAGTGGACTGGATGCAAGAGAAATGGGGGAAGGGAGAAGTGCTGTGGCAAACTGTCTCATCTAAAAGGGACTCCTGCCTCTTGTATCCATGTGGGAATGTGGGTCCACTTTGTCATATCTCCCAGTGTTTTTAAACGAAACCAGAAATTCAGATTGTTATGAGAAATTTTCTGATTTTTGAATATTGACTTTAGTCGAGTTTTAAAAATGCTGACCAACATTGTATGTAGTTGATCTACTTGGAATTTCTGGAATGTGCTGTTTTGTCTTGTGATTCTCTGTAAATAATGTTCCTTTATTTTTGACAGAGTCTTACTCTGTCACCCAGGCTGGAGGGCAGTGGCATGATCTCGGCTTGCTGCAACCTTCGTTCCCGGGCTTAGGTGATTCTCCTGCCTCAGCCTCCCTGGTAGCTGAGATTATAGGCATGTGCCACCACACCTAGCTAATTTTTGTATTTTTAATAGAGATGGAGTTTCACCGTGTTGGCCAGGCTGGTCTCGAACTCCTCACCTGAAGTGATCTGTCCACTTCGGCCTCCCAAAGTACTGGGATTACAGGCGTGAGCCACTGTACCCAGCCTGATGTTCCCTCTTTTATAAGTGCCATTCCTTCTTCCTTCTTTCTACCTCACAACCTGGCAAAATTGGATTCTTCAAAATGCCAGGTTGGACCTTCTTGACTCCAAAAGAGGTGGCTCCTGTAGCATTCTCACAGGCCAAGCATAGCACTTACTTTATGTTGCAATGCTGTGTGTTTTTACTCCCTAATGTGAGCAGAAACATTATTTATTCTTGGTAATTGTAACACTAGTTAGTGAAGACATATTTTTTGCCATATAATGGATTATACTTTGTATTTGAATCCGTGTGAATCACTATCATTGGTCTTCATTGTTTTTCCTCCTTCCCCTACTTTTTTTTTTTTTGAGGCAGTCTTGCTCTTTTGCCCAGACTGGAGTGTAGTGGCACAATTATAGCCCCTGCAGTCCTGATCTCCCGGGCTCAAGCCATTCTCTTGCCTCAGCTTCCCTAGTAGCTGGGACTATAGGTGCATGCTGCCACACTCAGCAAATATTTTTAGGTTTTTAGCAGAGATGAGGTCTCACTATGTTGCCTAGGCTGGTCTTGAACTCCTAAGCTCCAGCAATCCTCCTGCCTTGGCTTCTGAAAGTGCTGAGATTACAGGCATGAACCACTATGCCTAGCCATATTTTTTCCAATGTTAGAAAATATTTTTCCCCCCTAAGGAATGTGTTATATAAGGTCAACATCTTTTTAGTGCTTCAATTTGACTTACCTACATCTAAAGTTAACTCTTTAAGACTTATATTTATGATAGTAATTCTTTCCATCAAGGGATTTAATGTCCATTATTGTCATGTTTCTTGATTTTTTTCATTATGCTTGGTTCTTCTTTTTGTCTAGATTTTATATATGCCTTATTAAATTGATTCTTGGCTGTTTTATATCTGTGTTGCTATCAGCATGGGAATCTATCATTAGAAAGCTATTAACTTTTAAAATATGTATCTTTTGGTGATTGTCTTTGTTCTAACAGTTTTAGATGGTCTGTTTGCTATTTCTAAATATAAAACCATAGGTATTTCTATTTTTTTGTGTTTCATAAAATTATAATACTTTTTTTAATACTTCTTCATTACATATGAAGTTAATTGTTGGTTTTAAACAAATGTTCTTTGTTAGGATAACAGAAATAACATCTTCTGTTCTTGTTTGTTGGAAGCTAAAAGCTTGGTAAAAGGAATTGGTACAATCATATTTTTATTACTTAAATTGCCTAATATGATTATATTAAGCATTTTTGTAATATCAATACATCCTTAAATTGCTGAGATAAAACTCTACCTGGTTATAGTATATGATATTTTAATGTATTATTTTTCCTATTTGCTATACATCTATATATTCACAAATAAAATTCATTTATCTTTTATGTGTGTATGTAGTAATTTCCTTTTTATTTTTACTGGCATATGGTCAGAGTATAAATCTTATTCTGAGTACTGTCTGGAGTTTTTGTAAGTTGATTTGTAATGCCATTTTTATTTAAAATATAATGTATTTTGGAATTACTCTGTTATTTAGAAATATTTTTCTAAAATTATTTTTTGAAAATATAATAATATATCATTGCGGAAAATTTGGAGAGTCCAGGAATATGTGAAGGAGGACGTAATAATCACCTCTTAATGCCACTGTATAATTGTTCTTAATGCTGTACAGTATTTTTTTCAGTCTTTTTTTTTTTCTTAAGACAGGGTTTCTTCCTGTTACCCAGGCTGGAGTGCAGTGGTGCAATCAGAGCTCACTGCAGCCTCTGCCTCCCAGGCTCAAGTGATCCTCCCACTTCAGCTTCCTGAGTAGCTGGGACTACATGCATGTGTCACCATGCTCCACTAATTTTTTTGTATTGTCTTCTGGAGACAGGGTTTTGTCATGTTGCCCAGGCTGGTCTGCAACTCCCGAACTCAAGCGATCCACCTGCCTTCCAGGTGGAGTCCCGGCTTCCCAAAGTCCTGGGGCTGCAGGTGTGAGCCACCAGGCCCAGCCTTTTTTCAGTCTTTATGCATGTGTCCTTAACTATTGAAGGTATGCTTTACATACAATTTAACACCATTTGGGATTGATACTATTTTGTAAACATTTCCCTATGTAATTGAAAGCATTTACAATTACATGCAATGGGTTTATTATATTTTAAAAGTATTATTCAATAATAGTTCTATTGCTGGATATTTGCCATAACATTGTATTATATAAATTGTACATAAATCTTTGTCTGAATTTGATTTTTTTTTTTTTTGAGATGGCATTTTGCTCTTGTTTCCCAGGCTGGAGTGCAATGGTGCGATCTCAGCTCCCTGCAACCTCTGCCTCCCAGGTTCAAGTGATTTTTCTGCCTCAGCCTCCCAAGTAGCTGAGATTACAGGCATGCGCCACCACACCTGGCTAATTTTTTGTATTTAGTAGAGGCAGGGTTTCACCATGTTAGTCAGGCTGGTCTCAAACTCCTGACCTCAAGTGATCTGCCCACCTCAGCCTCCCAAAGTGCTGGGATTACAGGCGTGTGCCACTGCGCTTGGCCAATTGCTGATTATTTTTTGGAACAGATTTTTAGATGTGATTATACTGTGCCAGAAGATATGAATAGCATAAAGACTCAAAAAGAGTTTCAAAACTGTCTTCCAGAATAGCTATACCAGATTACACTCATTGTCAGCATAGGAATCGCCTATCTCAGTACACACTCAATAGCTTTTGTTAGAAAGCACATTCCCAGGAAAGGCACAGAATATATTTTGTTTCCTAAAGGGCTCTTCTTGACAGATATTTAGAAAAATACATTTGTATTGATTTTGACTTACTTATACAACTCAGTGCTATATTTTAATGTTTATTATATAATAACATGATTATGTACATTTTCTGATTTTTTTTCTTTACTGAGGTTTCCTTTTGGATTTCCATTTGCATTGTCACTTTTGTTGGTGAACTGATCACACATTTATCTTCTAAAGGTAGTATTTTATTCTCATGATGCCTCATAGGTGCTCACTCTCAGATATGTATCTCCTAGATACATCTTCAGTTTACTCAGAAGAGATACTGCCTCGTCTGGCTTATATAGCAAGCTCTCAGTTTAATGAAGGAATGCCTGCTAATTTGAGTTGACTCTACCTGCTTTCAAGATAAACTTGGGAAAGCCTCAGATACAACCTTCCTTTGGCTCATACTTTTCTACAGGTTCATATTCATAAAATCAAACCAGAAAACATGAGTGGATTGTTCTGTTGCTTGTCTGGGTGATGGAGACTAGAGGAGAGTTCCTATCACAGCTCCTCTGACAGTATGGCCTGCCATTCTCTCCCTCTTCTCCACTTAAGACTCCGAAGAGAGTCCGCTGAGTGTCTAGGACTTTCTAAGTCAAAGATACAGGGACAATCAGGACTCACACAGTGTAATTACAGACCAAGGTAGGTTAGGTTATTTGCAGCAATGAGCAACTCCGAAGTCTCATGGTTTACAACAACAAAGATTTATTTCTTACTTATGTGATGATGGTCAACTTCAGCTTTGTTCCATATCATTTTCACTTGAGACCCAGGCTGACTAAACATCCCCCACCTGGACCGGTGCTGATGTCCTGGCAGGGGAAGACCACAAGCTGGCTTTTCAAGCGTCTTATTCTCATTGCATTGGCCAAAGCAAGTATTATGGCTACCCTGTCTTCGACAGGGTGGGGATGAATAATCCTACATGGAAGGGCACTGCAGGGTACATGACCAAACTTAATGTTGATGGACAAGGAGAGTAACGCCCTCAGGAAGGGGCAGTGAATATTTTCAATATAATGCAGTCACCAAGGAGGAAGCTCAGGCAGGTGGCCTTTCTTGTGCTGCCTTGGGGAGGCAGAGTTCCCTTTAAGGATGCTGTAGAATTTCTGATGGTTTACTTTCATTGTCTCAACCAAAAAGCGGCAAACATTGCCAATGTGTTGACAACAGAGGTCAACCAAGACACCACAGAGTTCTGGTTTCTGGCCAGAGGGACCCAGACCAGCACTGAGCTCCTAATTTAGGAAGAGTGTGGGTGAGGGGCAGAGCCGACAATCCTTTAGACTGGGGTATGGCTTAGGCCAGGGTGACCAACTATCCCCATATGCCCAGGATGGAGGGGGTTTCCTGGAACAGTGTGAGACACAGCTGAGGCATTCTTTCTGCTGCCTCATTTCTGCAGTAATGCAGACTTCCTTTGAAGCAGAGTTGACGAGGTGAGCTGACGCATTGTGACAAGCATTTATAATCTCCGATTGAATTAGCATAGCCTGAGAAGTGGTTTGTGTGTGTGTTGTGCATTAGAAAAGGAAAAGCTTTTTTTTTTTTGAGACAGAGTCTTGCTCTGTCACTCAGGCTGGAGTGCAGTGGTGCAATCTTGGCTCACTGCAACCTCCACCTCCTGGGTTCAAGAGATTCTTGTGCCTCGGTTTCCCTGGTAGCTGGGGTTACAGGCATGTGCCACCATACCCGGCTAATTTTCGTATTTTAATATAGATGGGGTTTTTACATGTTGGCCAGGCTGATCTTGAACTCCTGACCTCGAGTGATCCGTCTGCTTTGGCCTCCCAAAGTGCTAGGATTACAGGCGTGAGCCACTGTGCCTGGCCAGAGAAGAATTTTTTAAATGTTGATTTGGCTCTGATAACTAGAAATATATGTGTAAGAATGCACTTGATGACCTTAAGGATAATTAAAAATGGGGTGCGGCTGCCTACCTGATTACAAAAAAATCAAATCAAATTTGTCTAATAAAAGACAGAATAAGCAAACAAACAACAAAACAGAGCATCCAAAACAAAGTAACAGAAATAGGACTAAACATACCAATTATATACTTCCTCAGTCAATGCTTGTAGTTGCAGGCTGTAGAAAACAATTCTGGTTTAAGCAAGTCAAGGAATTCATTAAAAGAATATTGGGTAGCTCACAGACTGAAGAGCTGTAGAGGAACGCTTGGAGGCTGTGCTGCTGGAACCAAGTTGTGCTTAAGAAGTGGGTCCATTAAGACATTGAGCAGGGGCCAGGCGCAGTGGCTCTCGCCTGTAATCCCAGCACTTTGGGAGGCCAAGGGGGGCGGATCGCAAGGTCAGGAGTTCAAGAGCAAACTGGCCAACATGGTGAGATTCCTGTCTCTACTAAAAAATACAAAAATTATCTGGGCATGGTGGCTTGTGCCTGTAATCCCAGCTACTTGGGAGGATGAAGTAGGAGAATTGCTTGAACTGGGACCCGGGAGGCAGAGGTTGCAGTGAGCCGAGATCATGCCACTGCACTCCAGCCTGGGCTACAGAGCCAGACTCCATCTCAAAAAAAACAAAAAGACACCAAACGGGATGCTGTAGGCGGCACTGCCAGCAACAGGGATGTTGCATCCTGAAAGCTGAACTGCTGCCACCCAGTGTCCAAACGATTCTGTACAGTCTTTGTTTCTCTGGGTTACCAGCTTCTGATTCAAAGTGAGACAGTTTGGAGTACAGCATTGTGGGGTACAGCATTGAGGGGTAGAATCTATATCTTGTCACTCTGCCCCAGCTTCGAGGGAGGATGAGAAAGTATTGGAATTTCCAGCTTCTGCAGTGGGAGATGGGCTCTGCTTTAGAGGAGGTGAACTTGTTCAACACACGAGGGTTTGGAATGACAAACGCCTATGCCTTTTCATTGCTTTGGCATGCCAACATCATACACGCAGTTTCGCTCTTGTTGCCCAGGCTGGAGTGCAATGGCACAATCTCGGCTCACCACAACCTCTGCCTCTCGGGTTCGAGCAATTCTCCTGCCTCAGCCTCCCGAGTAGCTGGAATTACAGGCATGTGCCACAACCCCCAGCTAATTTTGTTTTTAGTAGAGGCGGGGTTCCTCCATGTTGGTCAGGCTAGTGTTGAACTCCTGGCCTCAGGTGATCCGCCCACCTCAGCCTCCCAAAGTGCTAGGGTTACAGGCGTGAACCACTGTGCCTGGGAGTGTTTCTTCACACCCTTCTGAACCTTCTAGATTTTCTGCAATGAGCATGCATTATTTTTAGCAGAGAAAAACACTCAGAATAGAAGATCCTCAAAACATAAACAGACAAATTATGCCGTATTCCTGGTATTCTTCAATCCAACTTGGCCTTACCTTGTTGAAATCAATGCCTCCAATGTCATGCTGGGGATGATCCCATTCTAAGGGTCCGTCGGCATGGCTGATCTATTTTCCAGTGGCCCCTTCTCAGGAAAGATGCCATCTGTCTCCTGTGGAAATGGATATTGCTTATTCATATGGTGAGGATAACAAAGACATGGATGAAGCTGGAAGCCATCATTGTCAGCAAAGTAACACAAGAACAGAAACCCAAACACCGCCTGTTCTCACTCATAAGTGGGAGTTGAACAGTGAG